ATTCGTTCAAAACCTTCTCTGCGTGTTTTCTGAAAGAAAATAAATGCATAACGACCTGAGTCGCAACCAATGCACCTTCTCTATCAGAAATCATCAAGTTTTGTGCCCTCCTTCGTATAATTGTTTTAAGAATACATACAGATATGTATGTATGTGATCACACATGGGCGCAATTAGGGAATCAGTATAAAAGTGCCTATTCCACCCTTTAATGCTACCAACAGAATGCAATTTGAACGTAAACCCCGAACCACAAATGTTTCTTTTTCCTTTTACATTGCGTATTTTCTCGCATTTCTTTTGTTGTTTCATTCTGTTTGCTGTTTTATTGTCAGCATCAAATTCATTGGGAAAGATGTTGGAACATTTGGTGGTATTGTGGTGGTGGTGTGACGAGTTTTCTTTTAGTTCCAATTTTATATTTGTTTGAGTTACCTTTACAGATTTTGCGCGATCTCCCTGGAGAGAGTGAGAATTGAGATTAGATGTGTGTGCGTCAGTGATGGCAAAGTTGTACCATTTTCTGTATCTCGCAATTCCAGGACGAAATGTATCGTTTACGTTTTGTCACTGCACAATCAATTGGTAAAATTTACCGCAGCTGATCATCTGGATTAGTTGTCAAAATTGTTATTGTTAATGGAATCACAGCATGAAAGATAAGCAAATCGTAGACAAATTTTGGCCTTTAGTCTGATTGGTGTGACACATAAATTACGCATCTTTTTAAATTACGTATGTTAGGTGATAGTGTGTATAAACTAACCAATAAATAACCGACAAAACACCAACAAATCAAACATTCAAAATTTTTCTACAGTTACAGTCCATTCAAAAAACAAATTCGGCTGGACAGAACTTTGAAAACTGTCCACCATCTGGAACGAATTTGGAAATTTTTTAAAAAAAATAAAATCGGTTAAAAATTCTGTTAACAGAATTAACAGAAAGTTGTCATTATATTAGGGTCTATACGACGACGTGGCCCTGTATAGGCAACTTTTGTCATAAGCCACAAGAATACATTGCAATATTCAAATGCGAAACTTGAAAAAAATCGGTGCATAATTTAGCTAAAATCATCAAAATTCCGAATATAGGGAGGCACCATTATATGGGGGCTATACCAAAACATGGACCTGCACAGACAATTTTCTGTCATAGGCTGTAATATCCATTACCAACTTCAAATACCAAATTTGAAACATTTCTGGTGAATATATATTTAGAGGTGTTACAAACGGAATGACAAACTTAATATGCCCTCCATACTACGGTGGAGCATGGTAGAAATATAGAGGTAGCCGCATCGACACAGTTGAAATTTTTAGATGAAAAATTATTCAAATTTGCAAAATTTACAAAAAAAAATGGATATCGTATACGAAAACTTATAAAATCTACTAAAATCCAAGAGTTGATGCATCTACCTGTATTCTTCTACCGTGATGGTGAAAGGTATAAAAACTAGGTTAAGACACTGCTGCTGGGACAATGAACTGTCAAACCAATTTTAAAATTAAAAAGTTTGAATTAAAAATTATTTAAGTTTATAAAAATTGTTGAAAAATGCATATCGTAACAACTTCCGATTGGTGTTGTATATAAAAAAAAACTTATAAAAACCTATTTATATTAAAAAAAATCTAAATGTGATATATTGATGTTCAAAGCGTTGATGCATTCATAAAGTTTACTGAATTCATGTTGCCATATTTTATAATGATAATATGACAATAAAATAACAATCGTTTATTTTATATTGAAGAACTGAATTATAGATTTATATCACGAAATTAATTACAAAATTGTCTTGTTCTTTAAATAAAGATGCCACTAAGAAAAAAATGCAGTGACTACCAATTACTTTTACAAATAGCTTGCCATATCACAGTAAAATAATAATTTATTTTAACAGAAAGATGTAATAATGAAACCCCGATAATGTGAACTTTATCCTTTACTTTTCCTAAAGTATGGGATAACAAAATTGGACTATAAAGGAAATATAATAGCGAACCAAAGTGTGTCTCGTTACCCTAACAATTGAGTCGAATTGTCGTAGTCGTTTGACACGAAAGCTCTACAAAAGAGAGCGTTTCGAGAGAGAAAATTTGACAGTTCTTTTACCGAGAGTTTGCAAATTCTTGCCGGACAAATATCTTCTTGAAATCACTTGCAACTTTTCTCCTTTTTTGCGGTGATTTCTATTTGGTTAATCAATATTAATACATCTGTATTTTGCAAATCGCAAGCCTATTTATACGCACATTTTTAATTTTTACATGCTTTATTTCTTTTTATGGCGGACAAATTGACAAATCAGCTGATTGCTTCCAAGTTTTTTAAGGGATTTCGTCTGATTACCTTGTAACAGTTTTCTTACAAAAGAGAATAAAACTGCCTTATTCTCTAGACACTTTCCGCAGGAAATGCAACCAGACAAACCTATTGTCAACATTTGTCTCTTCACGCTTCGCTTCATTTTACTGGAATTTTGCTTAAAAAGATAATGTTCAGTCCATGGTAAAATTAAGAAGGTAGTCATATCAAATAAGCATATCCATCTCTGACTTTTCTGTAATTTACCTTGTCAAATTTCGCTGAATAAAAAGAGGTCCCCATTTCTTATTCCTGTGTATACAATGGATATTTGGTGCCAGATATCTTATAAAGCTCGGAAATACCTCTGCCAAATTTTATCAAGATCGGCTCAGATTTGAATAAAGCTCCCATATACAGGGTGGGATGAAAAAACTGCAACCAACTTCAGACTGCTGTCATTTCTAAGCCACTTGTCCGACAGCTGTTAAAATTATTCCAGTGATAGCTCATTTTTTGTTTAAAAGCTTACAAAACATTTTAGTGAGAATTTTCCAGAAAAAAGTTATTCGTGATGAAATTTAAGCGTGACAGAGTGATTTCTTTATATTTGGCTGGAAAACCACAAGATAACTCTAGCATTTAAATGTGAATAAATCTTTTGTGTCTCGTATCATCGCAAAATGATCGTCTTTACTTGCCAAAGAGGTCAACTGAAAATGTGCACCTTCGGTTGGCCACCAGAACTCAAGCGCCGGCCATGGTGATGGTGTGGGCCGACATAACAGCCGATGGTCGCTCTCCGCTCGAATTAATCGACAATGGCATAAGAATAAATGCCGAATATTATCGCGAAAATATTCGGCCAAAATGTTTTCGTGCCCAAGGCTTTAATAACATTTTGGCCGCAGATCTTGGACATTCTAACAGGACTCAGCACGCGTCACCCAAGAATGGTCACAAAATGAGGTTCCTCGCTTCATTGCAGCGCACAGTGGCCACCAAAATCTCAAGATACCAATCCGTTCGACTATTATATCAGGAGTATTTTGGAAAGCAAGGTTGGCACTAAAAAATACCAAAGTGTCGATCACCTCAAGCAAGCGCTTCGCCGAGAATGGGCCAAAATACCGTAGAGCAACATTCAGGCAGCGTGTGACAGTTTCATTGGCCGTTTGAAGGCCATAATGCGTGCCAAAGGTGACCAATTCGAAAAAATCTAAAATTATTCTAAAATTTGATGCTATTTCCGACATTATTTGCTTTCATTCAATAAAATTTAAAAAAATTTAAAAATTATGGTGTTTGACTTTGTTGTAGTTTTTTTTATCTCACCCTGTACATCTTCAACCGATTTCGGGTTAATTGTACACCAAATGGCCAATATCTGCCCAAAAGTTCTGAATCTTGGTACATCGGACCGAATTCTGTCTAGAAGAAAGTACATTAAATTTGGTGAAAATCGGCTCAGATATATCTATATCTCCCATATGTATGTTTCGTCCGATTTGGTGTTTAAATCCCTCACATTCGTAATATGCATTCGACAACAATGATATTTGGTACCCGATATCTTATAGAGTTCAGAAACATCATTGCCATATTCTATCAATATCGGCAAAGATTTGGATATAGCTCCCATGTACATGATTTATCCGATTTCAGTTTTATTGTGCAAATAATGGCTAATATTATCCCAAATGGAGTAAATTTCTGGACGTATGTACGTTTCCATTTTGTGGAACTCAGATCCCTTATATATTTTTTTTAATATAATCCTTCTCAAAGTGAAATCATGCACTCTATAGCAATGTTATTTGGTATAAAAGATTAAAATTTATTCGTCAAATTTTGTGAAACTGTAACTGAAACCAAACTGTAACTGCTTGAAAGCCAAATGATGATAGGTGGTAGATCTACTTCAAATAAATTGTTTGTTACGGGAGCTCTACTAAATATGCATAGTGGTGTAGGATATCATATAGTCGGCCCGCCCGAATTTTGACTTTTCCTTACTAGTTTAAATTGTGTAGCATATTTGTGTTTGACGTTGAATTGTTTGTCAAAAATTAACACGATGTAAAATTCTACATAATTAAACAGCATCCGAAAACAGAATCAACGTTGGAATTTTGTTTAGTGTCACCCGCTTACAAAAAACTATACAGGGCGAAACGGCAAGATCGATGATATGTGTTACAACATGATTTTTTTTCAGCGTCATCCTCATTCTATGTAACAACGTCCCAAGCGTTGGTTCTATTTTGGGATCTAGGCAAAGAAATTCGTTGTCTGCTGCTTTTTCTCAAAATTGTATTTTCTCAAGTCTTTTAAAAACTGTACACATTTAAAAATGCCATCACTGATAATGGGTCGATGGTGGTGGTGGTGGTTGTTCGATTCGTTCGTGTGAACACAATCAAGGCACACTTACTGTACTCACTGTATGTATTAATTATTCTACTGCTGCTGCTGCATACTGCCCGATCTGGCACTCGATGTGTGGTGAATGCTGTGTGCCTGCCTGTGAACCGCCAGCCACTGATAATTGTTTTATGTTGTTGTATTTTTGAGCGCATTCGAGAGTTGTCTGTATACATTATCGATTTTGTTGTAGAATACTCGTTCGTCGCTCAGCCAGCTCGCTTGTACGCTCACTCGTTCGAACAACACCTTTTGTTATGCGACAAACAACAAGGAATGATCATTCGTCGTCGAACCGCCAACCAGGCATAACGTCGTACGAGATTTGAAAGTCCGAAACGCGGCGCGACATTTTGGATTATTTCCACACACTTTTGTTTGAAGCGACAAAAAATACGCTTTCGTTGTTTTTTTGTTGTCCAAAAATTGTTTATGTTTTGTTTGCCGTTTTAATTAACAACACCCAGTTAATAATTGAGAGTAGTTAACGAACGGTTAACTTGTGGTTTGAGAAAAAAACCGACATAATTTGTGAAAATTAATTGAGTGCTCACAGTTTCCCTCTACGCGTGGCATTAATTACAAAAATTGTAAGAAATAAATAAATCGAGGGAAATTAAAGAATTTAAATTCAAAAATAAGCGCCGGTTATTGGAGAATTTCAAAGCAAAAGAAATAAGAAACAAAACTAAAAGCATGAACCAAAAAACACTAAAGACTAACAACAACAAAACACAGCGTCGACAAATAATATCAAAACCTTTAAAACACAACACGCACCAGTCTCATGCTCAGAGGAAAATTTAAAGAAAACATCAGCTAAAAAAAGAAAAATTGCTGAATCAGGAAAATAAAAACCAGCTAGCAACACCAGTGTGTTATATATTGTGATAATATTCATAAATAAATCCAAAAAGAAGAAGAAGAAAAACACGCACAAGAAGAAAACCAGTTCCTCCTGCAAAAGAAGAGTCCTATTATAATCGACAATACATAATAATCAACATCATTGCCATTGCCTAGGAATTTCTTTTAAAATAATCAGACACACAACAAGCCAGCCAGTCAACCAAATCACCCAGTTGATAATAAACACCAGTGAAAACATTGTCCATTAGTTTTGTAACAAGATTTAAGGTTAGTATCGCCGAGGGCAAACAAGAAACGCTTCTTAAATATTGCTATGATGCGCCTCGATTTTGTAGATTTCCCATTTAAATAGTCTTATCATAATCACAGCATAGCTAATTAGCACCTTACATTCACGAAGCATGCACAAACACAGTGTTTTGAAATTGTCATCCAATAAAACAGCATACAACCATATAACGTTTACACTTGAGTTTAGAATTCCCAAAGCTAGGCTTTAAATATTTTAACCCATTTGTTGCGGAGACCATTTATTTTCAATTTTTTATTTAACATTTAACACCCACCAATCTTGACCTGCTGATTGCCTTAATAAAACTACATATGACTAAAAGGGGGGTACGGTATGATACTGTCACAGCGATAGGGTTAAATCTGCATAATTTTAACTTCACAATGCCGGCGCATAATTCCAAAGCAATGTATGACATCTTTCGCAATCAAACCACAGTTTTTCAAAGTTTTAATAATTTTTCGCACAGATACTTCTCAAGGTCCATTGAAGTTCATTTATTATTAAAAAAAGACCTTCACATATAAATCTGGATTTTCAAACATTATTTATTTAATTTCATGATGTGGATTTAAGGTGGGAGTACATATAAAGCTTGAAGTCATGGCTAGGCATATTAATGTCAAATGATAATGGAAAACGACGACAGGATTTTAGTGCGGCTTATGTACTTATACCTTTATTACTTAATCTTTTGCTTTAACTCCTTTAATTGTCCTTGTTCGAGGAAAATGAAAATTTGTTAGAAGTTTTAATAGATCAGCTAGCATTAATAGGTGATCTTTATTATTCAACAATCATATATAATTTTTTACTTTCAAAAGATATTTCAATTCATTTTGCAAGAAATTTCTTGGTCATATTTCTTGCATGATAAAATTACGAATGTAAAGTCATTTTAAATAAGACTTTCTATCTCTATATATTCTGTAGTTCACCTTGTCAAATTTCTTTGAATAGAAAACAGTTTCCCATCTCTGATTTCTGATTTGACCATACCAAAACGGGAACCTTTATAGGCAATTTTATACTTCAAGCATTGTCATCTACCAAATCTTCTTAAATACCAAATTTGAAACAATATCGTGGGTAATGCTAGGAACACAATTGGAGCGAACGACGGTTTTTTTCGCGGCGTATGTTCGTCGTCAAAAATAAAACACATATGTGTATATGGAAGTGCACACAATCACGGCACCGGCGAAAATTTCGTCGGTCGCCGCGAACTCAATTAGCTTTATTTCTATTTCATACGCCGGCGACCGGCGAACAAAACAGTACAAGGTGGCCATACTTGTACGAATTTTATGTGTTTTAGTAAATAAAGTTACTTTTTACTTTAAAATTTATTATGGTCACTCTACTATCTGTTACTCGTATAAAAAAAAACATAATTAATTTGTTTATTTATTTGTGTACTTGCGCCTGAGTGAAGATGGATATCAGTGAATTTATAATAGAGAAGATGGACATAAGTGAAATTATAATAGAGAACGTAAAGAATTGTGTGTTCTTGTATAATTCGTTGTAGTCAACAAATGAGCAAAAAGTAAACAACTTCATCAGCTGTTTTATAATTTCGTCGGTATTGTGTTCCATACGACGAATTTTCGCGGCTCATTTTGTCGCCGCGTAGGGCGAAATTCGTCGTTTGCTCCAATTGTGTTCCTAGCATAAATGTGACTAGGATTATCAAAATGCCGAATAACGGTGGGTATCGTTATATGGGGGCTGTTCCAAAACGCGGACCTATATATACTATGTTCCGCCACCAAAGCTAGAACTCATTGCGAACTGCAAATACTAATTTTTAGACAAATCCGTGGAAAAATGTGGCAAAAACCATCAAAATGCCGAATATCGGGAGGTACTGTTATATGAGGGCTATACCAAAACGTGGACCGATATATCTCATTTTCAATACCAGCCATCCTAGATATAATACAAATTGTCTTGAAGCTCTACGTCAAATTTGGTGGACTGAATCGTTATTCAATAGACGTAGAGACGGACATCGTTAAATAAACTTAGAATTGTGTGCTGATTATGAATATATATACCTTATGGGGTCTACGACGAATATTTACCACCTTTTCAAGGTGGGTGGGTGCAAATTCTACATACTTTTATCGAACTCATTTCAATTACTCGTTTTACTCTAATATGTCGTTTACATGACATATAATCAAAAGTACTATCTATTTCATGACGCGTTCTATGTTGGGTGTAAATATATTCATAGCCTACGTTCTTGGCATAGTAGAAGAATACAGACAGATGCATCAACGCTTGGGAACATTGATATGTCAAAAAATTTAAAATGTTTTTTCAAATATAATAGATTTTTATATGTTTTCTTATACTACATCAATCGGAGGTTATTATAAACAATTTTTACAAACTTGAACATTTTTTCATTAAAAATTCCAAAATTGCCAACAGTTCATTGTCTTCTACCATGGTTCTTAGTTTTTCCGTCTCATGTAGGTTTTTGATTTTGGCTTACTAAAGGCAAAATAATTTTATTGGCTTTTTCTATCTTTTATAATTTAAGAACTCTCAATTTTTTATTAAGAACTCGCCATGTATTTTAATATTTCGAAAAAGACTAGCTGGGATTGAAAACATTGACATGTCAAAAAATTTTAAATGATTTTTCAAAAATAAGTAGATTTTTTTTATAAACAATTCCTACAAATTTGAACAATTTTTCATTAAAAGTCTTAAATTCCAAAATTGGTTTGGCAGTTCATTGTCCCAGCAGATGTTTCGTTGCGACTACCGGTATTCTTTTACCATGGCCTAATAATTTTATTACTTTAACATTGTTAAGAAAATATGGGTTTGTCATCATTTGAAGGTGGTAATTCTGTAGTATTTTCACCTGATTTTGACATATTAAATAATTTATCCGTACTATGGGAATTTCTCAAGGAAATTTTGTTATTTCCCTAGATTTTCGCATTGACGCCGAAATTCGTAATTAATGGAAAGTTCATCTGTTTTAGACTTAAAAATTGACAATCAGTTCAATAATCTTCATTGCATTACAATTAGTGCAATATTATTATCTAATCCATTTTCATTCATGACAATTTTACAATAATTATAACCTTACTCAATATATCACTTTCACCACTGACTTTGTTTGTCTCACAACACTTTTTATGTAAATTAAGCATTTTGAAGTATAAATAATTGTAGCCGCCTATTATACACTCAAATTGGCTAAACAAATGCCTTCATTGATTCGCACCAGCTTGTTTATTTTGATTTTTTTTTTTTGATCAATTGTTTTGTTTACATTTTGTAGTTATTGTTATCGTTTATTAAAATACGATTCTAAATGATTACCTCTTCTTTTCTTTTGTTTTTGTTATTGTTTTCTCTTTGCAGGCAAGGTACCTAAAAATAGTAACTATTTAAAGAAGAAGAAGAACAGCAACAACAACTCAAGAAGAGAAAACAAAATAAAAAAAGCATTTTCAAACTGTGATTAAAAGAACTTAACGTCAAATCATCTCTGGTTTAACGTAAACAACAACAACTACATCATTTCTTGGTTAGTGTGTCGTTTCTTCTGCGTTTACTGTGATTATCAAATCTCAGGCTGCTAAGGCGACAACAACAATACATATCATCAACATATTTTAATCTTCTACTAAATATTTGTTGTTGTGACAAATATCGCCACTAATACGCGCTTGGTTACCCAACCGCGTCAGCCTAATTGGTTGAGAGCAAAAGATTAAGAGACCTTATATTAAGTTAGTGTTTAGCTTCGAGTCGTGGTCATCGTCGTATAACGACATAAAAACAAACAACATCACTATGATTTCCCACAGTCCACCCATCTTTAGTCATAGTCCACCGGTCAGTTTCTTAGCCGACTTCATGAATAATCGTCAAAGTTTAAAGTAAGTAAAACAGAAACATAAAACATATAAGTGTAAACATTTCAGATATGTTCGTAAACATTCGTGGAATCTTTGTAAATAGTTGAGTGTATTTGAGATAAAAAAGTATTTTTTTTTTCTAAAAATAAACAATGTTTTCAGATAATAATGTTAAAGTACGTTTACACACAAAATCTTTACCAGGGTTACACCTGATAATAGTCAAATCACAATAAATCTGGCTCCATAAAAAAATACATTAAATTCATTGAGATTGGTCAAATATCAGAGTTAACCTGGGTAGAGGTGTGTGTAAACGTACCTTTATTCTCAAGACCAAACATGATAGAAGAATATAGGTAGTCGCATCGAGACAACTGCTGCGACAACTAACTGTCAAACCTAATTTGAAATTAAATGAAAAATTATTCAAATTTGTAAAAATTGTTAAAAAATGCATATCATAACAACCTCCGATTGGAAAAACATATAGAAATCTACTTTTTTTTGAAGAAAAATTAAAAAAATTTTGACATGCCAATGTTCCCAAGCGTTGATGCATCTAACTGTATTCTTCTACTATGAGACCAAACAGAAGTTGAGTGTATTTGAGATAAAAAAGTATTTTTTTTTTTCTAAAAATAAACAATGTTTTCAGATAATAATGTTAAAGTACGTTTACATACAAAATCTTTACCCGGGTTAATCCTGATAATAGACAAATCACAATAAATCTGGCTCCATAAAAAAATACATTAAATTCATTGAGATTGGTCAGAGTTAACATGGGTAGAGGTGTGTGTAAACGTACCTTTATTCTCAAGACCAAACATGATAGAAGAATATAGGTAGTCGCATCGAGACAACTGCTGCGACAACTAACTGTCAAACCTAATTTGAAATTAAATGAAAAATTATTCAAATTTGTAAAAATTGTTAAAAAATGCATATCATAACAACCTCCGATTGGAAAAACATATACAAATCTACTTTTTTTTGAAGAAAAATTAAAAAATTTTTGACATGCCAATGTTCCCAAGCGTTGATGCATCTAACTGTATTCTTCTACTATGAGACCAAACAGAATCAACATCATTGCTCATAGTTGTTTTCATTTTTGTCATGTTGTTGTTTCTTTTTTGTCAATTCTGTTTTAGGCTTAACAGGAATTTGTTTATTTTCTTATTAGATGTTTGTAACTTAATGTGTGTCTGGGTGACTTGAATAATTGACAGTAATTTGTGTTTTTGTCATTCTTGTTTTTGTTAGACCGTGTTTACACAAGCTTCAAGATTTTCGATCGTTATTAAAAGCTAAAACAGAATTAACGTTGGGGCCGTTGTTATATAGTTTTTCATTGGCTCACAAGAATTTAAATTATATAAAAGTCATGGCGTAACACACATCGCTCTATTATATTTTTTTTTGGCAACGCGTAGCACACAACAAAAATCTAACTTTGATTCTGTTTTGGGCCTAATTCTCAAAAATCAATAAATGTTAATGGAATTGACACAAATTATTTTATTAAATAAATACCAAATGTCGCTGATAGCAACTTTGAATAAATTTCTTCAATTACAGCTAGTTCTTTTTCATATTGACTGAAAATATCCACAATATAATCAGATTGTTTATTTCAATTACCTTCACTTAAGGTCAATTGATCTTGACGAAAAATCCATTAAATAATAAATATTCTCTGACTGCCCAAGGCACGTGTAGCTATGTTTAAATGCACTTTTGTTTAAATTTCATTTTTTGTTGGAAAAAATTTACTCCTGTAGACACAACAATAACAGACACAAGTTATTATAAAAATAACAAATATTTAGATAAGCGGCCGAAATAGTTCGGATACGACTTGTCTTATCAACAAACAACGTCTTTTTTATAAATTAAATGCATAATCACATATTCATATAAATATATTTTAAATACATTTTCAACAAAAAAAAAATGTACAAAACAGCTACTTAATTAAGTGCAAATAAAGGAGCCACAACTTTTTTTCTTTCTTTAACTCAAAATGCAATGCAAATACAATTAAATGGCAATTATCCATCGTTTGATGATTAGGGAACAAAAAACAATTGTAATTGCGCTTTTGTACTTTTCCACAACTTCCTTTGAACAGTTAAAAACGACTTTGCCACGTTTGCATGATTCGCATTAAATATTCTATTATTGTAAATTTGTTTGAAAAAAGGTCCGATATTTCATAGCTCTGTCATATTTTCAAAAATTTTATAATTGATCCAATGTGCAGCAATAGAACTCTTAGTTAAGGGTTTCAAAACTTGTTCTTTGTGCAGATATTCAGGAAGATAATTCTTTACTTCACGGAAAGACTAAATAGATTTATCTAGTTACTTTTCCTGCAGGACTTGTCCAGCATCTTCTTTCTGAGAGAGTTAGATATTTTTATTCTCTTTTGCAAGAAAACTGTAAAAAAGTAAACAGAGAGAATCCCTGCAAAAACCTGCAAGCAATCAGCTGATTTAAAAAAAAAACACTTTGTCCGCTATCAAATGAAAAGAAAGACCCAAAAATTAGAAATGAGTTGAAAAACAAAAAATTGGCTTGCAATTTCCAAAACAACAATGTTTTTAAATTGTTTGGCCAAATCTAAAACTTGGGAAGGAGAAGAAGAGTTATGGCAATGAGAAATTTATCCGGCAATAATTTGCTCACTCTCAGTAAAGTGTCAAATTTTCTTTCTCGGACCGCTCTCTTTGAGCTTTTGTGTTAACAGAATTCCAGTAACAATTGCAGCAATTGTTACAAATTTTAGGGTAACCAGCCACACCTATTATCATCGTAAATTACTCAATGTAAACGTAACATTAATGTTCACAGTTATAGGTACCAACATATTTGAGTTTAAAAAATAAGTAAAAAAACAGTAAGTTCGACCGGGCCGAAGTTTGAATACCCTCCACCATTTGGAAAGAATTTAGAAATTTTCAAATAAAAAAAATTAATAGTATTGGCATACATGTTACGGGATACCGTAGTATAGAAATTGGATTAAGCCAGACTATTGCAACAACAGAAATAAAATCTGTTAAAAATTCTATACAAATCTCAAAAATAACGAATATAGCCGTTATATTGGAGTCTGTACGAAAACGTCGACCTTCATAGGCAACTTTTATCATAAGCCATTGCAATATTCAAATACGAAACTTGAAAAAAAAGATCGGTGAATAATGTAGCTAAAATCATCAAAATATCGAATATACAGACGTACCGTTATATCGTTATTATAGCGTACGAAGACCTGCGTGATTACAAAAAACGGGCGCACAGGGCTAAATCGTCTTAGAATTTTATGCTGATCAAGAATATATGTACTTTGTTATGTTTAAAATTATTATTTCGATGAGTTACAAACGGAATTTCGAACTTAATATGCCCCCCATACTATGTGTGGTGGAGGGTATAATAATCATATGTTTTATTAAAATAAGTTTATTGCCAAAAATACATTAAACAGTCGGCAATAATATGGAAACAAATTGAAATCACTTGTCGAATATGTAGACATTTTGATGATGCATTGAAAATAATACAAATTTCTAATTAATTTTCATGAAAAACTTTTGATTTTATAAATAGTATTTATTGTTCATGAAAAATCGTCTATTAACGTCATATCCGTTGGCACTAAATACGAAAATATTTGTGTTTTTTTTTTTCAACAAAATTGCCATAATTCAAATGTATGGTATTTTACGACATTTATCTGAAAGTTCATCAATAGCAAATTTAATGCAAAAACACAAAATCCTTCTTTGGGCCAAAAACAACAAACCGGTCGTTGTTTGTCTAAATAAGTGCCAATCGCAGAAAATATATTTTATTTTGTTTTTGCAATATACATAGTATTAGTATTAAAATTTTAAGGTCAAGAATAACCAAAAGCTTTTAGGGACCGTTTCAAAATATTTTATACAGAGAAATATATGAAAATAATTGGGTCCTCCGATGGTACAATGGGGGAGAAAATTCGCTTTCTGTCAGAGTTATTCAAACTTAGGTGCAAAGAGTTGTTTTCATTTATTTGATGTTTTTCCTCATTTTTAAACCCAGTTAAAAAGCGGAAAAGATTAATTAGATGGATGGAATTTATTTCAAATATTGGGTTTTTAATACTTGACTTCCGTGGAAAACTTGTTGACATCAAATGTGAACCGTATTATTCATATGTCAAATAAAATTAGTTTTTTTAAACATTTTTTTTTTTTGGAAATTTTCCAACCATTCTAAATTACGTTCATATACAAATCATTATTCGGTTAAACCGTGATAATTGGCCAATCACATTATCGGGATTAATAGCATCAAACTAATTGTATGTAAACGTACTATTAATTAAATAATTTTATAGCGTCATTTATAGTGCCAAATTACAAATACGTGTCGTATTTTAATTAAATAGTAATTTAGTTTTCAACACGTAGTGCATGTTGAGCATAAAGCTTTTGCTAGTCGGTATAGTCCGATATTTTTTGTCCTGCTGTATTTAATGGAAAATATTTTTATTTTGAGTAAGCAAATTACGTATACGCTTATGTTTATACACGCGCATTTCTATATTTCCCCTTAAATCATATGATTGGGTCAGATGCAGACAACGTTAAAATCATCATCAGCGTTGCTAAAATAAGACCAATCATCATCATCATTGTCGTCGTCGTCATCATCATCATCGCCAAACCAGTGATGACAATCGGTATAATAAACATTATTTCTAGAAATATGGGACACTGATTGCTGTTGTGGCAAACAAAAGAAAGCTAACATACAAATTGCCTTGATCTTGACGTATTATTTTCGTTTCGAAATTTTGGGGAAAAATTGAATAAGTTTAATTTTGCGAAAATAAAAAACATCATAAAATGTTATAAGTTTTTATTGATTTATTATATGACATAGAAATAAGAATAAATTATGAAGAAAGAGAACAAAAAATCCAGTAAACATATATTTAAACGCCTAATGTACTTTTACTCAAATGCGTTTTGTATACAAATACTCCAAAGAAAATAACAATCTTAATCTAAGTTTAAAAAATTAGGAAAACCATGGTAGAAGAATACAGGTAGTCGCATCAACACAGCTGCTGAGACAATAAACTGTCAAACCAATTTTGAAATGCAAAATTTTGAATGAAAAATTATTTAGGTTTGTTAAAATTGTTGAAAGATGCCACCACCTCCAATTGTCGTTGTATAAGAAAAAAATATAAAAATCCACTTATTTTTGAGAAAACATTTTCGAATATCAATGTTTCCAAGCGTTGATGCACCCACCTTGATGTCTTCTTTTTTTTGGAGTCCTAGTATTCATGTACCATTGCTGTGTAGTCGATTATTAGTTATCGATAATTATTTCGAGTTCCTTGTTCCTTTCCATTTCTCTTTACCATGAAGAGAACCATGGCAGAAGAATACAGGTAGATGCACAACGCTTGGGAGCATTGATATGCCAAAAATATTTAAATATATTTTTTTTTTCAAATATAAGTAGATTTTTATATGTTTTCTTATACTACGTCAGTCGGAGGCTATTATAATTCGCGTTTTTCAACAATTTTTACAAATTTAAATAATTTTTCATTCAACATTTTCAATTCCAAACTTGGTTTGACAGTTCATTGTCCCACCAGCTGTGTCGACGCGTCTACCTATATTATTCTACCATGAAGAGAACATAGTCTTAAAGTACGTTTACACTCACAAATCGAGTGGAAAAAAATATCAGCGAACATACACTAAAACACCGGATATGGTGTCACTTTTAATTCTTAAAAGAATTGAATGATCAGTTTAAAAATTAGGAGAACATAGTCTTAAAGTACGTTTACACTTACTAAATCGGGTGGATTTCAATTGTCATATTTTTTCCATAGACGTATCTTTTCCATTGTAACCCTACAACCCTGGACAAAGATTTGCAAGTAAATGTACTTTTATTTCCGTTCATGGCACAATAAAAATGTGTTACTCCATATTTTCAAAATCAGACAAAATTTCATAATTTGTTTCCGTTTTTGTTTACTGTCTATTATTAACTGTAGTTTTAATACCATGACTTCAATCACACTAAGTGTTTTGACAGCTCGTCTAAATGACCAGCAAATGGGAGTACCGCCCTGCTTCCGTTATTTAGTGTTATGTTATGTAAACAAACAAACAAGGTATTTAAATAAAACTTCCATTGTATTTAATGGGTATCTATCATTATGTAAAACTATCAGCTGATCATCATATAAATCAACTTAAACCTGGTCTTAATTTTTAGAATTTGATAAAGCTGGCGAATCGAAGAATCCCTTTGTTTTTGCCAAATCCTACATAAGAAAAAAAAACCAAAGACCTAAAATGGTAAAGACTAGACAAAATGCATTTTGAGAAATGGTTTGTGTCTACAATACATAGAGTAACTGCTCATGGCAGTAACATGTTAATATAAAAACCACAATTACAGAAACGGATAACAAATAAAAATTTGAAAAATCCAAAATTTTGACTTCAAAATTCTATTCCATGGACTTTTCCGAAAATTTGCACATTGCCTTAGCGGTTTAAATCAGTTAACATTGGTAACTATGTTGTTATGATATCGTAACAACAGAGGTATTTTCACAGGGTTACCATATCTTGACTCTGTCTTGTCCTATCTTTACACTTCTATGTCTTTGAAAAAACTACAGAAAAAGACTACTTTTGTAAACGATTTGATCATAAACTTAGTTTTTTTTTAGTTTTCATGGTAGAATCAAAAAGGTAAAGTCATGCAAACATATGTTTACAATTTTTTCAAAATTATTCCTTTGACAATATCTCATTGTCAAAATATATATTTATAAATTCGTCGTAAATACACAAATCAGAAATGGAAACCTAACTTTTTTGCAGTGAAATTTTACAGGGTAAATTACCGAAAATTCAGAGATGAATATGCTTATTTGAAATGACTTTACCTTCTTAATTTTACCATGTTAGTTTTTACACTATTGTGATTTGTCTCTCTTTCAATTTCAACTCACAATTATTCTTTTGACAGCAAACTTAGTTGTCAGGGCTTACAGGACGACCTTATGGTGGCCATGATTTTTACCTAAAGCTAGCTATAGGAACAATTGGCGGCAGGCATTCATTTCGCTTTTTATCGTAAATAAAAAATAAGACTATGAAAAACCGACCACTTTTACCATTTAATTTTCAATTTGACTTAAGCTACTATGAAAAATCGCATATGTATCCATTGGAATTTAACATTTTGTTATTTCATTTATTTTTCGCAAAACTCGGAAGATATTTTCTAAAAATAACAATATATAGACAATGTTTAGCATTGACCGTGGCGTTCAACCCTCAGCACAGTTGTATGTAATGTCATTGAAAGATAATATGAAAATTCTGATTGAGGGTCATAATTGTCATTAAAATATTTTAAATGTTGGCATTTATATTAAAATATATAATAGACTGGTAATTAAAAAACGTCCCAAATAGTAGACACATCGTAGATGGAAGACAAAGATATAAATGCTTTTGTTTCTTTTTTCTATTCTTCAATGTAAATATTTTATATTAAAATAATACGGTATTTACATGAGCATTCATTTCAGGGTCAATTGCGACATGGGGAATATTTTGCTTAAAAAGTGAAAATACTTTTAATCGGGACAATAACTACTAATCTGAATACAAGAATCATTTTGACATATCCTATCAAAATAAACCCTGATAATGTTCCCAATCTAAATAATAAATGTTGCTTACATTTATATCAACATGTTTAGACGTGACAGCTGAATCCACACGATTTATTATATATATATCTTTATCCGTGGTAACTTTTATAATTGATCAATCACAATAAATTTGACCATGTAAAACATACGTCACATTTATTGTTACAGGTTAATTATCACGGTTACCACGGGTAAAAATGTAATGAAACCTTCCCGTTAGCGCTCATTTTGACCTGTTCCTGTTTTGTGCGCAAAATTTTTCCACTATCCCATTGCTCCAAATATTTACCATCTCAGCTGTGTGCCCTGACTTGGCATTTCTCTACATAACGTGTGACTAAATTTGAAATTCTCTATAAACAAAGTTATTTAATCAAACAAATTCGTAGAAATGACTATCACCTAGCAACATAAAGAACCAATAAATAGGCATATTACTAATAAAACATGACCTCAATTTGTTTTATTGTAGATATTAGAGTGGGTAGTAAAAGTTGGCACATATAAACGCCTAGTGAACATTTATATATACTCTTGAAATTATTAAGAGCACATGCACTAGCAAAAAGACTTGCTTTGAAATATATTTTATTAATAAAAATATCGATAGTTCTACAATATTACTAATTCGGAGAGAAAGTTTATACTAGAGTAGATAATTCTGTTAGATCATGTAGTATAAACGTAGCTTCAGCCCACTTTATCAGATAACATGGTAGACAGGTAGTCGCATCGACACAGCTGCTAGGATAATGAACTTTCAAACCGATTTTGGAAGTGAAAATGTATTGATTATTGAATATTGAAATTTGTAAAAATTGTTGAAAATACGATTTGCGTCGTATAAGAAAACATATAAAAATCTACTTATTTTTTACAAAACATTTTAAAAAATTTGCGTTGATGCATCATCCTCTATTCTTCTACCATGGTAGATAAGTTCTAAAGCTACTAGTTTGCCATACTTCTACAACATTTTTAATTTTGTATATATTTTCTTTTTTCCATTGCAGTTGTAATGATGAGCATAACCGTGCATCACGTTATTGCCGCCCTCCAGTTATAACATTGGCCTCAAAGGCTATGGTTAATAACGCCCAGCAACGTGTAGCTAGTCCTAATTTTGGTGGTACATCGTCTAACGATAATAATCGCTTAAATTCCACATCTAATAGTAATACTAATAACTCTAACGCCCAATATAAGGCAAATATAACAAGCTTCATGCCAGAAATGGGTCGTCGCCTTGAACGCATGACTTCGGCACCAACATTGCCGATGACACCGAAATCATGTCTACGTCGTAAATCCTGCCTACATAAATCTTCAACGGAATCGATTGAAGTCACAGATAAGGATACCAATACGGATACCAAGTGTTCAGAAAATAATGGGTAAGTTGAAAAATGTTTAAAAAAGGAGATAAATATATATTTTATATTTATGTGAAGATTTCTAAAAGTACGTTTACATACAAAATCTCCACCCAGATTAACCCGGATAATTGAGAAATCACAATAAATTTTCCGTATGTTTTCTATAACTAACAGCCTGTTCCACGATCTCGAAAGAAAATTTGTGCGAACGAAGGCTACTCACTCACTTTCGTATAAGAATGCGTTCCACTAACTTTCGTTCTTTCTTTCGCATAGCCTTACGTGATTCAGTGTTGCTAAATATTTTTTTGTAAAAATTAATCGCGAAATAAAGCAAAAAAAGCGTCAAATGTCTAATTTAAACGCGAAAAAGCAGCAGTGGTGCTGTCTCAACTGACATTTCAGTTGTAAACAAACAAATTGTAAATAAACAAACAAAATAAAATTTCTAGTGATTGTGTTCAAACTATTTGTGCTCTTAGAAAATAAAAAAAAGAATATTTCCGTAGCCCTATTTTTTATGGAGGAGGTTCGAAATGTGCCACGGAGGCATTTAAGAGATGCTTCGAATTTATTTGAAGTACCTAACAACCAGTAAGTATGATTGTATTTTTACATTTTTGAAATAATAAAAAATGATTTTTTCTAGGTTTGTGGCCAACTTTCGTGTGTCGAAGGAAGTTTTCGGGCTCTTTTGGATATGATGGAAGAGAAGTGGGTGCCCGGTTGCAGAACTACCCAAGTCCGCCCCGATTTAAAACTTCTTCTGCTGCTTCCAAAAATTGGCATTCCTCTGGCGAACACAGGATTCTCCTCCATTTACTCAACTAGTGCCCGCAGCTGTGTAGTTGATGATTTTTTCGTGCTGGAATTGAGAAAATAAAAAAAATATATATTTGTTGTTCACATATTAAATTGCATTTATTATTTTAACTTACATTTCTGTTTCCATTTTCAATCAAGCAATGTTTATGTTAAAACAATTTTCCTTAATTGTTATTATACGATAGCAAACACACAAGTGACTGATTTTGACATTTGTGTTCGCATGCGTACGAAAGAAAAAAGATAGTGGAACGCAAAATTACACTGAAATGCTTACGTTTTCGTTCGCTTTGATTTTCGTGCAAATTTTCGTTCTGATAGATTTTAGTGGAACGGAAATCAGCTGTTTGTCGTGTAAAAGTTGTGCGAACGTGTTCTTTCGATATCGTGGAACTGGCTGTAAATTTATTGGTCAATAATTAGGGTTTACAAGGGTAGAGATTTTTTATGTAAACGTGATTTAAGGTTTCTGAAGATCGTTAATGTGAACAAGGTGTTTATATGGATAATAGCCCGTTTTCATACCAAATCTTTGCCCGTGATAATTAGTGTCCAAACACAATGAATACAACCGACATTTCCCATAGACGAATTTATTGTGATTGAACAATTATCAGGGTAAACCTTGATGACGAATTTAAACACATAGACTTTAATAAAAGGTGTAATATAGATTGGCAATTGATCTATAAGAGATCTTTGATACTAAATTATTTGATTTTTAAAACATAATTTCAGTGTAATCGACAAACAATAGCAAGTTTTTTTCTTTGGAGAATTAAAGGTGTTGGCATCATTGCTAGGCATATTAATTTCAAATTATAATGGGAAACGGCGGCAGAATTTGAGTACGTCTCTGGCATCCCTTTATGATATGTTACAAGATATTCCATGCGAAGACTTCAAGCTGTTCATGTACTCTCTCTTAATCACTCTTAATTGTCTAACCTTCCTACAATGTTAGTGAACTCACGGTATATACATAAGCCTATCGATATTGATATTTGTACACATGTATTCGATTATATTAACAATGAGATATCATTTTATAATAACGAAATCATGTAATGCCAATATAATACACAGTCTGTGGTTATTAAAAAAAAAGTTCAAATTACATATATAACCAAGCGGCACATATATCTGAGACAGTATACAAAAGTGTTGAAAACGTTTAAGAATAAATTGAGTACAACGCACATAGTATGTATCACCCCAATTTAATTCATTTCTACGTTTTATTAACGCATAAAACACAAATCGGTAATGGAGAAGAGAGATCATGGTGGAAGAATACAGGTAAATGCATCAACGCTTGGGAACATTTATATGTCAAAAAATTTTAAATGTTTCTTTAAAAATAAGAAGATTTTTATATGTTTTCCTATACGACGCCAATTAATTTTTACAAATTTGAATAATTTTTCATTCAAAAATTTCAATTCCAAAATTGGTTTGAAAGTTTATTGTCCCTGCGGCTGTGTTGATGCGACTACCTAAATTCTTGAACCATGAGAGATATGTAAAAGACAATAAGCTGATGTTTGTTTATGTTTGAGTTTTTTCTTTACTTTTAGTCGCTGCTTGTCTATAGTAAAAAAAAAACATTTCTAATCCAGTTTAAAGAGGAAGTTAATTCGTACCATAAACACGGATGTAATAACTTATTTAATTCAAATCTGATCTCACATTTTAATAGCGACCCTCTAAAGCAGTTATGAATTAACTGCTTGTTTGTAAAATGCCAAGTTTATTATTGGCGCCAGTTTTGATTTCGTTGTCAAACAACAAACATATTTAAATATATATGAATGTATATTTACGTATATTAAATTGATAGAACCAAATTACGCTATAACCACATTTATTAACAGCAAATCCACTTTTATAGATTACAAATGTTAAATGTAATACGACTATTTTAGTCATGAAACCACTTAGTTTTATTCTAAAAATACAAGCTATCAATAGCGAACAAATACATTTAAAAATTACATATTAATTATTTAATACAAAGAAGCTACTCTGAAATACTTCACAGTTAGTGTGAACCCTTTATAGAACAATGTATATTTTTACTAATGGATTTTTTTAAAAAGTGTCATTTATAAAGTACAAACATAAAATGTAAGACCCTCCAGACAATTTCTGTTTACTGTCTAGCCCCTTGCGAAGCACGAGACCAACACTTGGCCGCTAGTTAAGTTATATTGAATATTTGTTTAACTGTGCCAGTGTACCATTCATCAACTTATATTTACTTTACATAACAAAAAACTTAAGATGGGGAAGTTTCTTTAAACGTTTCAAAACTATTTGAAAGTAAACATAGACAGAGCTTAACGTTAAACATTATCATCAAGATTATTCCGGACTGATCAAAGTTTAATGATGATGAAGATTATGTGTAGATAGCTAGAAGATTACAAAATATCTAAAATGATATGTACTTTTAAGTCATTTCGGTGGTCATATGTCTTTATCTAGCTTTTACACAAGACGAATATCATATTTACCAAAAAAACGTTACTCGTGTTAACCCTGTATAATTGTCATCAATCACAATAATTTTAACATATTCATTGTGATTGGTCATCGGGGTTATCCCGGCGTCAGGGTTTATATGTAAAGGTACTCTAATACTCTTCACCCAGATTTGTATGTCACTATCATATCTATGATAGAAGAATACAGGTAGATCCATAAACGCTTGCGAAAATTGATGTGTCAAAAATGTTAAAATGTTTTGCCAATAATAAGTAGAATTTTATATGTTTTCTTATACGACGCAAATCTGATTCTATTATGACATGCGTTTTACAACAATTTTTACAAATAATAACAATAAGCAAACATATAATAATTCATTCAACATTTTCAATTCCAAAACTGGTTTGAGAGTTCAGTGTCCCAACAGGTGTGTCGATGCGACTACATGTATTCCGATTAATTTTAATTAATTTCGATTAATTTGACTACGGAAAACATACGATAATTATTGGAATTAACCCTGGTAGAAATTTTGTATGTAAACGTATTTTTCTTCTATACAGTCCGGAAGTTCGTTTCTGTTAAACGTTTTATATGACAGACTCCTACTTCTAGTAATAGTCTTGGCTTGGCTTGGCTAAATCATCAGAAAGCTACCATCTAATTTAAAAGTCGATACAATATTGTCTAATATCAAACTCGTCTTATAACAAGTTTACATACAAAATCTCTACCCGGGTTAACCCTGAGAATTGACCAATCACAATCATTTAAATGTATGCTTTCATTAGACCAATTACCTTTACTGACTGTTTTGGTGAATAGATACTGATATGATTATTCCTATCATTATTAATTACGATATTTTGTCCCATGCATCCACATTTGTTGACATTTTACATAGACGTCATTGAATCTTCTTAACATTCAACTACATACAAATACATCTGAAAGTATCGATTATGCATCTGGCATAACGCCGACAATCGTGCTATTTTAGTGTTTTCATTTAGTTTTGTTTACAATTGCAAATTCGATTGACATTTTACCAAAAAAAAAGTTCCTGACGTACATCACACTTGACAAGATTAAAACTTTTGGCGCAATATAAACACTAGCACATTTTCATTTCATTTATTTTCTATCGTATATTCTTTAACAATCCGGCCAGTTTGGCAGCCTAGCGGTCTACGATATATATGTATGTATGTATCCACTACCAAAGAAAAAGTTTATATTTAAAAATAAATGTATTTTTGTCACAAAACAAAATACAACTTAAATAAAACTAACGACAAAACAAGAAGAAAAAACCCTTAGAGAAATTGTTTGTGTTATGCTGATCACGTGAATCGAACGTGTACACAATATGATAGAGTGCGGAAGATTTTTTGTGTAGAGTTCTTCACGTTATTATTGTAATGAAAACATATGACTTTCGCTTATACATAAAATATTTATTTTCTATTTTGGTATGCATGATAATGACAAAAATCTATGATGTTGAAATAACAAAATCTAATTAATTTTAAGTTATTGCAAAAGCAAAAATCATTTTCATTCAAAGCAATAATACTTTTTATGTTATAAAATTGCAGATAAAATGTTATGTAAGGGTCACATTATGTGTCAATTGAAGACGTTATTATTAATGTAGGAATGTGTGATTCCACTCACGAGTAATTTCATGAAATATCTGTGATGAAACTGTAAAAAAATGTTTCATCACTTTATTTTCATATGAAATTATGCATGTGTGTAAGGGGGCAATAAATGTATGTATTGAGTGTAAAGATGTGAATACATAAGCAGCCATGGTAGAAGAATATAGGTAGATGCATCAAAGCTTGAGAACATTGATATGTCAAAATGTTTTTAATGTTTTATCAAAAATAAGTAGATTTTTAATTGTCTTTTTATGCGACGCCAATAGAACGCTGTTATAATATGCATTTTTCAACAATTTTAACAAATTTCAATAATTTTTCATTCAACATTTTCAATTCCAAAATCAGTTTGTTTGTTCATTGTTCCAGCAGCTGTGTCGATGCAACTACCTATTTTTAAACTAAAATGAAGATGCCATTGTGAAAAAATGCACTACCAGTTACTTTTACAAAGAGCTTGCCATATCTCTGTAAAAAATGCATATATTTTAAAGGAAATGTGTAATAATGAGAACCCGATAATGTGAGCTTTATCCTAAGTAAGGGGAGCTTTCCTAAAGTAAGGGATGACAAAAGTGGACTATAAAGGAAATATATAAGAACGGACCATAGTTTTACGCTACAAACATGAATTTTCAAACCCTGTGTTTACAAAATACCAGCCAATATGCGTCCCGCAAATTACAAAAAAGTAAAATCTCATTTGATTTGTAATTTGTTTGTAATACCAAATTTGTTATTGTAAAATACAATTTTGATTCAAGACAACTTGTCTTGTGTAAACGCAATAACATATATATTAACATTAGCTTTGTTCCAGAACCTAAAAGAATCTACTAGTATTGCAAAAAAAAAAATTTATTAAAGTATGAAAAACTTTTACGTACTAGCAATTCTAGTTCGATTGTCATCCATTCAATAAATTTAAAAATAAAAAGTAGTCAAAAATTAAAGATATCTGAGTTAACGGTACATCCAGAGTTTTCCTTGACCATGGTAGGAGTAAATGCATAATGTGGCTATGAATGATTTTAAAACATATTTATAATTTTCAATTAAAAAAACAAACGCCCACCATATTGTTCGTTTTCTATTCAAACAAACACATACACATTGTTTTTTATTTCGAATTGATTAGATTACTTCTATAATTCGTAAAAATTCCCGAAAATTTTCATTTTCAAAAGATAATATACTATTCGTTTCATTTTTTTGTTGATAACATGAAAACAAAGGCATTTTAACGCCTTCTTCCATACACACATATATCGGTATTTTTAACCATAACAAAATAAAAAGCAAGAACAGCTGTTTTGGCTAACAGCTGTATGACGGATTGGATGTTTGTAGTTCCTTAAACCATACCGATCCCAAAGACAGTTATAAACAATGTTATGGGACAAATTTTTTATAATGTTTTCGACATGTTTTTGTTTTAATACTACGTTAAAATTGTATTGGAAAAGATACGGAAGCCCTAGTTTACGATGAACGGCATCAATGTAAACGTAGTCTAACAGTACAGTGTTTAATTTATTTTAAATAAGTTTCTCACATTACAAACTAATTTTTAATGCAGATTAAAATTTAGGCATGTAAATAAAACTGGTTTCGAAAAAAACTAATTTCAATTTCTTTTTTAAATATCCCAAATTGAAATAAAAATTAAAAAATGAAACCTTTACTGAATGACTCAACAAGTTTTGTTTACCTTTTTTTCTGTTATCATCAATGACCGCTTTTATGATTCGAAAATCACCTCTAAAATAGACATTTTCAATGTTTATGTTAACGACCCCACAAAGTGTGCCCGCCGTCTCCGCTAACACACATAATGAGAGCTCAGTATGTTTGAGCAGCAAACATATGTACATATTGGTTATTTAACCTTACAATGTAGTGTGTGAGAGTGTTATGAGTGCTGATCACGCGCTTGGTGCATGTTGCACATTTCACACGCAGCAGGTTTTTTGTTTCTCTTGTCGCCCAGCAACGATTCGATTTTTTGATTTTTTCTTGTATATTTGTTTTTTTCGAGTTTCTGTTTAAATATTCAAAAAGTTTTATATACATACATACGTAAAAGAGTTTATAATCAGTGTTATAAAAATATCTCTGCAACTGGTTGTACTTTAAGGTACAATTTTAAAGAGAAGTTAATATCTGGTTCCCAATGGCGTTTAATGGTTTTTTTCTGATTAAAATATTACTAGATTTTTTATTATTATTAGAGAAATAATTAAAGTATTATATTAGGTAATCGATTTAATTTACCCAGTGAAATTTGAAATGAGGATATTTTTTTTTCAAAAAATACATTTTATATTTTAACCAGTTTTTAAAGTAGGTGGTTGTAATTGTAAAATGCATTTTACAAATTAAGGTTTAACACGTGTGACATGTTGAAAACGGATGCTTAAATCCAACCCGATAAACTTCCATTGCTCTGTTTTAAACGGAAACCCTATTGAGCTAACAAGCATTTGAAAATTTAGGTTTTACAATAATTTATAGGAGAGTTAGTAAAAATCTTACCTTCATATATTAATATACAGCAGGTCCACCAAAACATATAAAATACAACTCAGGGGCTAAGACATGTATTCGTTTTCAAAGACTTTAGAAATTTTGAAAAAACTTATTAAATTAAAAAAAATATTTCAGAAGTAGGATCTAAACTGTATACTTCATCGATTTCATGCAAAAAATAGGTAATATCTTCTATGGGTGCTTCAATGAGCATTCTAAATTATGATCGGTTGATAGCTCAATAACAGCAAAACAGCATAAATGTCATAAACCTGGAGGAACACTAGTAAAAAGCTCCGGGTTTTACTATGTTAATTTTATCTTTTTTTGATTTTTTTAAACTATCAATAATAAACTACAAATTGTATATCATACACTACAGCGGTTAGTTTGGCAATCTATAGGTATTAAAAAATATATTAAAAAACAGATGTTCACATTTTCATACATAAATGTTATTCGATTTCTATTTAGTTAACATATTTCGTTAACAAATTATTTTGAGTTTATAATAGCTCACCGTTTTGATTTTTTGAATACATTAATACAATTTAATTTAATAGGACTTGGCTACTACATGTTTATATGCAATGCAAATGTGTTGCCATGAGCAGAAACAAGTTATTTTATCTATGAATTATTATTTTTTTTTTTATTTTTCAAATTTATAAAAAGCTTATCAAAGATTAATAGATTACCCAACACACATATTCTTGTAGAAACGCTTTTAGATAGGGAGCTTTTTTTACACATCTGATTTTGTAATACTTTGCGAGAAACACTTTCCTTTAACCGGCTTTTACAAAAGACAAAAGGACAAAGTTTGTTATTTTTTAAAATTTCTATCACATATGCATTAATAATTATTTGGACGTGGTGGTCTTCCACCCATGTTGTTTTCTTTTTAACGATCTCTTTTTCTCAAAAAAAGAAAAATAATTTTTTTACCAGACATTACGTAGGCGTATTTACATATTTCGAGGTTTTTATGGCGTACGAAAATAAACACAAAAATGCCATTGCAAACGATTTTATTTTGTTTTTACAGTGGAACCATCAAATCGTTTGAATTTCGATATAATTTATAAAATTTAATGGACATTTTTTGTATATAATTAAAACAATTGGTGCCAATACAAAGAAAAAAAGATAATTTATTAGTAAGGATAAAAAACTGATATGAACATTATGAATATTTCTTCGAAATTGCATTCTCAGCTACTCGACTTGATTTCTTACAAACGCGTTATAAAAAATCTACATTTTAATGATCTGACAAAATAAAAAAAGGTATTGGCTTAATTTATGTTGGGGAATCCAGACTTTTAAAATCTATGGGTGTTAAAAACACAATTAGTTAATAAATTAGCGTGTGGTTAGGGGTTATTACACATCATATCAGACACAATAAATTCGACGTATATTTTCAAATTTAAATCTTTGAAGCTCGATTTAAACAAAAAGTATACCATTCCTTAATTTTCAATCGCCTTCATACATTCATTGCCATCAATGATCAAAACAATAGGTATTTTAACATTGCAAAACACTTGCCAATCGCCACCTGACACACACAAAACAAACAGAAGAATTTACAAATTGAAATTTTATTGGAAGAAACAAAATGTCGCCGCCCGCTATGGCGTTCAATTTAAATTTGCCAAATTAAATTCTTGGCAGACAACAAATCAAATAAAAATAAATCCTAACATATTTACTTACTTTTTATGAATTTATATCGAAGGCGTTGATACGACACACCATCTCTGGCGCCAAATACAATTCACCTTATCACCTTAGCGAAAAGCAAAATCAAATCTCCGAACAACTGAAAAATCTTACATGCTGGTCAGGGCCATTTGTGATGAAAGCATCAAGCTCAGCAAAATGAACAATGTATGTATGCAGATAATTGAAATCGGATGTCAATGAACAGATTTTCTGTTGTTCTTCTTTTTGGGGTATGGGGTTTCATTACTCTGCAACCACTTGAGGAATTTTTAAAACGCAAATTGTTTAAAACACGCGCAAGGAATTCTAAATGGCAGAATTATCTTACGGTTTTTAGAAGTATTTTTAAAAATCCCTATCAACCCTTAACTACAGACGTCAAATTATTCGAACGTTAGTACAGACCACCTGTAATTTTTACCGGTTATATAAAACACATAAAATTTCTGTAAAACAATTGAAAAATTTGTTTAATATATGTCTCTTATATATTTTTTGTATATCAAGATCTTAAAAAAGTTTTAAAACTATTTACTTTAATAAAACCGCACAAGTTTTTTTTAAAGCAAAATATATTCAGTTATCCCCGAAATTGAAAAATCGTAAATGCTTACCGGTAAAAAATACCGGTCATCTGTAGTTAAGGGTTAAAGTTCCGAAAGTTATTCGCAATACGAGTTCAAATATTTTTTTTTTTTTCGAAAAATCATCACAAATATGCAATAGATGTAAAATAAATAACATTTACGCTTATATATTTAGTAAGCTTCAAAAACATACGCCTCAGAGAGCTCACAATTAGAAAGCTATTATAATCCTTCAAAAATATATGTTATAGAAATTATTTGCAAACAAAATACTCTGTTGTACAATAAATCTTATTTTGCGCGAATTTGGAAAAGAAAACATTTAAAAATATTGACATTTTAAATTACACATAAAACAGATTCGGTGTAAACATCACATTTGTCTAAATAAGACTACCTTCACACTACAATAATCTGTCTTGATAAACTACAACCTCATAATTTATTTGGCTTTAATTATAGCACCTAATGTATTTATTATACATTTTTCATTAGTCAATAATTAATAATTATGTTTTATGTTTCTTCTATTTTAGCCATCAACGTAAAAAAGTGATATTTGCCGATGATGAAGGCCTTTCTTTGACACAAATCCGTGTAATGTCTGAACCTTCAAATGTCCCTCCATACTGGAGTATGAAATTCTTGGAACAGATTACACAAGGTTTGGTTACACCCCATCCTGCCGATCAGTGGACTGTTGACTTTAAACAACCTGCCTCCGATTACTTGGTCTTTAGGTAAGTCTCATTGATCCATTTGTGCGAAATCTTTCGTTTCATTTGTTATTTTTGTCATGTTTTCTTTTTTCAGACAAACCATTGAACGTGATTTTGTTTCACTTGAAAATGTTATTGTCAAAGACGAGGAATCAATTGTGGTTGGCACCGTAAAGGTTAAGAACATATCCTTTGCCAAAGAGGTAGTTGTACGTGTTACTTGGGATGATTGGAAGAGCCAACAGGACATCTTTTGCACCTATAATAGAGCTTACGGTCCTGCCACATGTGCCCATGTGGTATTCGATACATTCTCATTCAAAATTACCCTTCCACCATCATCCAAACGCTTGGAATTCTGCATATGCTATCGTGCTGATGGCCAGGAATATTGGGATAATAATGGTGGCAAAAACTATACCATCACCAAACGCTCGCCCTTCTATTATAATGCCTTGTCGCCATATGAAAAGAACAACACATCATCTGCCATGCGCAACTCCGCATCTTGCCAGAGTCAAGTGAGATCAGCACTGAGTGCGGCTTTGGCAAATAAAAATTCTGATTCAACGCAAAATTGGCAACAAGAGCCCAGTCCTTATTGGTAGAATTGCAGATGTGATGGATGACCATGAGCAGGATCATGAAACAAGGTTTAGAATATTTATAAACTTGTACAGCAAAGGCTTTGCAGCTTTCAAACAATTGGGCTGCAGAGCTAAACTTCAAAAACCCCCCAGAGAGCTTTAAAATTGTTCCCTTTTTTTGAAAGCATAAACTATATAGAAATAGGGTTATTTTGTATGTAAAAATTAACTTTATTCGAAAGATGAAGGGACATTGGCACCAAGAAGAAGAAGAATATCAAAAGGGAATGCAAAATATTGAGGTCCTCATAGTGTTTTTGTAAAACATAGAAAGTAACTGAGGAAAATGCCCTTCAAAAATACAACTAAGATCAAATAATACTGATAATAACAAATTGAAAGAGAAACAAAGGTAAAGTTCTCTTCAGCTTGCATTGTTCCTCGGAACATCATGCCTAAATTACAAAAAAAAAGAATTAAAAAAACTATTTTGTTTAAGTCATGAGATTAACGAAATCTCATGGATTTTAAACTTGTGAAATGTGAATTGATGTTTGCTAATGATCTCCTGTCCTGTTTTGAATTTGGATATGTCTTTGTAAAGTGTTCATGTGTATTTTTCGTTATGTATCTTATGGATCTCTTTTAATTTTGAAAATGTAAATTTTCCAAATTCAAATCAGTGACTTTTAAAAGAAGACTTTCTAAACAGAGCTTAAGATTTGTCACATATGAACATTGAATACAAAGTGAGCAAAATCTATATGGTGTATATTATGTTCAAATTTTGAGCATATTCATAAAATTAAGACTTCAAGATATAGATAAATTATGATATTGCTAAAAGTTATTGCTCTCCAATCGCAAACATATACACCACTTCTATTGATTTACTAAAAATCACAATTTTTATCAATACAAGATAGGGTTAATGAGATTTTAACAAATGAATTTGATTTGTTGTGTTCGTGTACGAACAAGCATTTTATATTGGCTAAAAAGTTCCCCGAATGAAAATTACACATTAAAACTAAATGATTATTGTCAAAATGTTGATCATTAAAGTCTATATATATATAATTTTGTTTTAATTTTAAATTAGCCAAGGTAGAAATATGAATCTATACTTACATTTGTTTCGGAGATCTACTCAACATCAATTCAAATTATGCAGAATTTGCAATCATCTCAAATCAATATTGAGTTGTATAATGAGCTTAAAAAACTAAATACAAATAAGCACATTATAAATATTTATACACTGGAAGTCGCACAGTCTGTCTTGTGACTGCAAATAGGGGAAAATCGAATCGTGAATAAATACTAAACATTTCTGCAGTATCTGAAATGTTTATTGTTCATGAAAATCCCCTTGAAATGGCCCAAACAAAATCTCTCCCAAAAAAAAAAAGGAACAAAAATACTTTAAAACTATAACTAACTACTACTTTTGATATGACTCATGAATTTAAATCAAACCCAGAGAAATTAACTACAATCTTTCGATGCCCCTCAATGTTTGATGGAAAAACAAATATCCTCTATGGAAAAAATATTTATCGATTTTAAACCATTATGGTTATATATTTTTACACATATATATAAAAATGGCTTCAAGTTTAAATTGTTTATATGTAACGTTTTGTTTGCTTGTTTTGCTTTTTATTTAATTTTTTTGTTTCTTTTTTCAATACCATCCAAAAAAGATTATAAAATGACTCTAACAAAATTTCTAGAATTCTTCGAATATGTGGCCTTATAATAAACAAGAAACGTTTTAACCATTATTTTATATGTATATTTTACAACTTTTTTTTATTAATAATCATCAAAACAAAAAAAAAACTAGAAATCCTGCAACTTAAAAGACTGAAATTGTTATTGATGAAAAGAAACAAAAAAATATATCCCACAATAATTGTCAATTATCCTTTATGTTTGCGTTTTTGTTTATTTCTCGTAAAAAAATTTACCCCAACAAATTCTCAAGAAAAAGTAATAACGTTTGATTGTGTTTTTAATTTTGCCTTATATGTTTTATTTACAATGAGTTTTTTTTATTTTACGAAAATTTTGGGTATTTTTTTGTAATATTGATCATAAGTCTTTACATAGTTTGTAAATAAACAATAAAATAAAACATGATTTGCAAATACACATAGTTTTAATAATTTCCTGTGTAATATTTAGTTCTAAGCGTTTTTTAGTTGTATCCAACAAGCCATAGCTGTTCTTTATACTTTTTTTTAATAATTATATTTTAATATACGAACTGTACGTCCTTTCCTGTGAACAGTCGATTTTCGAGGACGTTTAATGCTATTATTTTAATATACATCATATTTTTCATTTTAATGCCATATATTATATACACATTAAAATAGGGTTTTCAAATAAACAAAGCAATAAATGATATATATTTTTTAATGAAAGTGTATTTTCATTTCCCTAATACTTATGACAGAGAAGACATTTTCTATACTTTTGGAAAAAAATATAGGCTTGGGTTTACAGGGTGAAATAAAAACTTCAACAAAGTCAAACGCCATACATTTTTTTTTTAAATTTTATTGAATGAAGGAAAAATGTCGGAAATAGCATCAAATTTTCGAATAAGTTTAGATTTGTTCGAATTGGTCACCTTTAGCACGAATTATGGCCTCCAAACGGCCAATCAAACCGTCACACGCTGCCCAAATGTAGCTCTGCGGTATTTTGGCCCATTCCCGGTGAAGCGCTTGCTTGAGGTGATCGACACTTTGGAATTTTTTAGTGCCAACCTTGCTTTCCAAAATACACCACACACAATAGTCCAACGGATTGTTATCCGGAGATTTTGGTGGCCATTGTGCGCTGGAAATCAAGCGAGGAACCTCATTTTGTAACCATTCGTGGGTGGCGCGGCTGAGTGCGATGGTGCTGAGTCCTGTTGGAATATCCAAGGTCTGCGGCCAAAATGTTTGCATGCCCAAGGCTTTCATACACCCTCCAGAATATTTTCGCATTTATTCTAATGTCACGGTCGATTAATACGAGCGGACAACGAATGTTTTCTCATTGGAGAAAACCTAATTCGGCAGTTCACCACTTTCGACCAAGCGAAGCAACTCTTTAGATTCTATTTTTTTTCTGTCGCGGTGTTAGGGATTTCAATTGCTTTACCCCGAGCTCATTTTTCAATATTTGCCGAATGGAATATTGCGAGCAATTTTTCGGCCACTGCGACGCGGGTTTCGATCAAGTCACTTCTTCACTTTTCGAACCATTTCTGATGATGTTCCTGTTTTCTTCTGTCCACTTCCTTGACGTCGGGCTACGCTACCAGTATCTCGTTAACGAGCGATGGTACGAGACACAAAGGATTTATTCAAATTTAAATGCTGGAGTGCTCTATAAAGAAATCACACTATCACGCTTGAATTCCATCACGAATAGCATTTTTCCTGGAAAATTCTCACCAAAATGCTTTGTATGCTTGTAAACAATATAATTAGCTGTCACTGGAATTTTTTTTTCCAAAGTTTATTGCAGTCTTTTTCATCTTTGTTTTTTTTTTGCTGTTTTCCAAATTGCTAATATTAGTCCAAATAGAATGGAATTTGGAACATAGCATAAACGAATTTGAACCCAGAAGCATATACGTAATTTTTTGTGAAAATCGGTTCAGATATAGCAATAACTCCCATATTTATTTTTCATCCTATTTGCTATTTTTTCCCACAGTCGTAATATACACCCTAAAACAACGATATTTTGTGTTATGTCTCCGCTAATTTGTTTAGATTCTTGTTTTCATCTGATTTCACGTTTATTGTGCACCAAAGGTGTAATATGAGCTCAAATAGGGTGGATTTACCTATAACTCAAAAAAAGGTTTGTTTTAATTGAAACATTTTCAAAGCCGAGAGGTACAAATCTCTTTAGTGGAAATCGATTCGGAGTGTATACCTCACATATGTTAGTTCCTTTTGTTTTAAAATTATAACTGCTCCAAAGCCATAACACGCATTTAAAACGATCATTGTTCGTATGATCTTTTTCACATACAGAAATTCCCAATATAAACATTTATTTGTTACGAGTATCTCTACTAAATATGAATAGTGTAGTGTATCATAAAGTCGGTCCCTCCCGAATTTTGACCTTTATTTACTTTTGACTTTATTTTAGGAATGGGCCAAATGTCTTTCTGGGCCTTCTTAAAGCCCTTACCTAAAACCTGACCTACGGAATTTTCAAAAAAATATCTTTAACAGCATGGGAAAATTTCTAGCCAATTTTTAATTAAGAGTAGCACAGGACAACCCTCATCGTACGTCCCTCGAAACAAATAATAATACACATTTAACTTTATAATTTTACCGGCTTGCTGAATTCTTTATTTAATTCTTTCGTTTGGTTGTTTGTTTTCATGGGGATTGTGGTAGTTTTGATTTGATATTGGTTGTGTATGAACATTTAAATAAACAATTACAATTAAGATACAAACTAATATCAACAAAATAAATCTACAATGAACATTAAATTGAAGTAACATTAGGGGATATAGGTGACGTTATGCTATTAAATGTGGGTCAACAGTTAGTGTGGATAATTCATAAAATTTTTAAGCTGTGTTTTTCTCTTTTAACAGGTAACCATTAACGTTTATTAAAATAAGGAAATGTCAAAAGAAAATGCTTTCAGAATATGGAATGAATCGTTTGATACAATTTATAAATGCCACTAACTGCTCATTCTTCGAAGAAAAGTGGTATAATTCGTACTAACATAGATACTAATGCCCCTGATTACTACGAAGACTGGCGTTACTTAATAGATCACAGAACCCCGATTGTAAACAGCCGGTTAATACGCGTGTTTTTCCCGTGACCTATTTTCAATTGTTCTATTGTTTGCTTTAGAGTAGAATAATTTATGTTCCGCTTTGAGTTTCTGATGCGTCCGAAATGATTTTTAACTTATATAGAAGAGCTTATTAGAAAGGTGAATTGAATATCTTATTTACTGCTCCTAAACTACTGCTGCTGCTTTTGCAGATGTTTATTGGGACTTGGCTTCAAGTTTGGCCTTGAGGGAAGCGGGCATCTCTGGTGGAGGGGGACGGGGCAAAGCCAAAGCTACCTTGACACCATCGTAGATGAACCATTGCAAGGCAGTCAATGTACCAATCATAATGATACGTGGAGTCAAACCGTTCCACATACCCATGAAGCCCAAGGATTTGGCGACTTGAAGAGCGGTGGAGCCCTTGGCTTGATTCAATTTGGAAACAACGACATCAGCTGGATGGGATACAATAGCGCAGAAGACACCAGCAATATAACCAGCAGCGAATGTGACAACCAATTGTTCGCCCTTCGAGCATTCGGAACGTGGCTTGGGCACAACATGTCTGAGGAAGAAAAATAAATGAATACACTTTATTTTACAAATTACTTTCTCAACTTACTTGTACAACAATTCAACGGTCTTTTCGAAGCAAGCGAACTTCATCATGGTGTATGGAATTTGTCTCATCCACAATGGAACCAAACCCTTGTAGAAACCGGCAATACCTTCTTCCTTCATGATTCTGGGCATGGCAGCACGCATAGTAGAGGCAAAGCCAGGAGAGGTTTGAATCTTAACCTTGGCAGCTTCGAATGGAGCCAAAGCAATATCGGCAAAGAATTCAGCAGAGGCCGAGGCAGCCAAGTACAACCAGGTACGGTACAAGTAGGCGTTTTCTTCGCCCAAAAGGTTGGCATAGTATACTTTGAAGACTTCGTAGAAGCCGAATTTGCAGAGACCCTACAGGAAAAAAAAAGAAGCAAGAATGTTATGGTGTATTTTGAACTATGCGCGAGATTTTGTGAAATGTTATACTAAGCAACATCAAAATAGTTATATTTGTTGTAATTATGGCCATATTAGAGTGAAATTATAATTGTAAGTATTGGAATACTAATTTACAAAATTAAATAAAATAGGCTAGTTTTAAACAAATTAAATGGGCCAAGAAAAATCATGTTAACTATATTAAAATTAATTCCATGCATCCCTTGGCCTCTTTTATTATCTTTTCATAACTGAACTTGGTAATAATCCTTTGATCTAGACCAACACCATAACCGGTTAAGAAAAGATAATCAAAACTTGATAAAAAAAAATCTAGCAGTGCTACTTTTATTTGTTTAGACAAAAGGTTATGAAATTTGAAATAAACTTACATAGAGTAGTTGATATTCATATCTTCACTGCAAGTTTTTAAATGTGAAATAACTAAATCTACCTTAATATGCTCAAATAGTAACACAAAAGATATTCCAAAAAATAGTATCAAAATGTAAATCTTCAGAATACATTTATCAGGATTTAAATAAATGCTCATTAGAAGATAATTGATTTAATAATAGGTGTAAAAAACAAGAGAATATGTATTAAATACAAGGTCGCAATATTTTATACCTATATATTGAAAGTTGGCTGATTTCCAATTGCGTCCCTCGTTCGAAGAGAGCTACCAATTATATAAATATTTTTTGTTTATAAAAGATAATACAAACGCAATACATTTCGTTGTACATTTTTTAAGACAATTCCGAAAAATATTCGATACAAAAGAATAATACTCGAACAAAGAATGTGTAAGAGCACATCTTGAATTCTTCAATTTAAAAATGTTAATTTCAATGGCGAGTTATTTCTCTGAATCCGACAGAATATATCCTAGATAAGATATTTTTGAAGTGTAATGGCAACAGTGAAACGATTATGTCACTAGTCTCAATACATACAGGTATGACGTACATGGCAAAATAAACAAAAATAAATATGAAATGTCTGAAAATCTTATAAAAGATAATATTTATATAAATTTTGAAGACTTGAGCAGGACATTTTTAATTTTTTGAACCCTTATCTTTTTAAATGAAAGATAGAGGTTAAGTCAATAGCAATTGGACTTTGTACCAGCGTCTTTTTTAAACTACGTTAATAATTATTTTACAAAATCAAATATTGATTAAAAAATTCAATCAGTTAGAGGAGTAATCACGAACGGTAAACGTGTCGCATTGTGTAGATAAGAATCGATGCATGAAAACGATAAACAAATTTTCAGTCCACAACCGAAATTATTTACACCCATTGTTTACTCTTTTACCCAAATCTTCTATCAATCAAATATGTTTTAATGCTAAAAAAATTTCACGTGATAAAATCCAATTCGGCAAATTATAGCAAAAGTTTGTATAAGACAAACAGAAAAAGAAGAGAGAGAGAGAGAGAGAGAGAAAGTAATCTGATTGATAGTGTTAGCGAAATTAAAACTACATTTAAGATCCATAGAAACTGTTACATTAATTCGATTTAAATACATGCTTGAAAATGAAACAGATATTGATTTTCCCTAAACGTCATTACAGTGTTAACATTTGTTACATAAGAGATATGGTCCCTTTTCTTTTTCGTACTTTATTTTCTATTTTACAAATTCCATTCCAAGTAGGCGTAGAATTACTACTTTATCAACTCACCTGAGCGGAGTAACCATACAAAGTAGGAGCCCAGCCCTTGGCCAAACCACGCATACCCTCTTCAGCTACGGTGACCTTGAATCCATGGAACAAATTCTTGTACTTAGCTTGATCGACTTGCAAGCGGCACTTAACCAAATCCAAGGGCACAACAAAGGTATGAGTAGTACCACAGGACAGAACACCACCAATACTGCACAAAGCGAAGTATTTCATTGAACCAAATTCGCAGGAATCACCATTATCGGGGGTGGCGGCAGCTTGGATTTGACGTCCAACAACTGGGCCGGAACCCTTGGCTGGTGTGTCGCATTGCACCTTAGTGAAAGGAGTGCGCAGAGGTGAGTTTTTGGCAGCTTCTAAAAGAGAGGCGAACATCTTTGATTTCTGACTCGGTATGTGTCGATCCGTTAAGCAAACTGTAATAAATTTAGAAAATGTTTTGAAAATTAATATCTATTCCAATATATGTCATAAATGTTTAAACAAAAAAACAACTTTCAAGTTCAATGCCACCCATATTTGAGTCATTTGTCTGGGACAGTGGCAATTTTTGTTTTTGCACATGATATTTTTAGGTTACATAACGTGGAAAAAATTCCAACCACACAAAAATGTCAAAATTTTTCCAAATTTCCATAAAAAATAATATTTTGGAGTTACTTTTGTCCTTAAAAGTATTATTATGGAATTGCACCTTAGTTTATTTAACAATTATACTATCTACAAATACATTATGCAATAAATTTAATTTTTTCGCACTTTTTTGCACTTACTAAAATTCCAGCCAGCCACAGAGCCACGGGTTTGAGATACAAAAGTTCCAGAGAACGACGGTAACGAAGCCGAAAACTTGGACTACGATGGCAGAGAAATATGAACATAACGCCGTTGTTCTCATATGTCACTGACATTGACTTCCAAACAATGCAACACAATTTTTGTTACGATTTGTCGATCAACATATTTAAAGCACAAAACAGAAACAACGTTTTATTTTCTTTTTGGTAATTTAAAGCCTCAACGCAAAACTATCCACACAGTGATTCTGTGGTAGGGTTTATATAATAGATCTCACAATAGTTTGAAGCATGGCTCAATAAGGTTTAATACATGGTAGAAGAATACATCGACACAGCAACTGTCAAAGCAATTTTAATTAAATTTATTAAATTAATTAAAGATTATGAATAAAAATTATTCAAATTTATAAAATTGTAGTAAATGCAAATAATAACAACCTCCGATTGGTATGTATCGTATAAGAAAACTTATAAAAAATTGTTGTTGCAAAATGGTCAGGCTTTATCCCTTTATTGTTGTTTTTATAAAAACAACGTTTGTTTATTAGTGGAGAACGATGGTAATGTTTACCAGGGGGTAAGGCAGGTACCTAGGTTTCGGAAAGAGCCACTAATCCTCATCAGTTCCCTTGTTTTTGTCTGGGATATTCTCCCCAGAAGTTATTTTAAAAATAACTTCTATGACAAAAAACATTTTTTATCCAAGTGACGAGATCATAAGCTCAATAGAAGAGGAACCAAAGAATTAAATAAAACTAAAATTCTTTTGGAAAGTCTTCTAAATCTTACAACCGCACTTATAAACATTTACATCTTTCTCCACTTGTTATGCTTTCGTTCAATCTGAACGAAGTAGCATAACCATGTAAGTTGGTTTTGTCTGTTACAACAAAAACCCCTTCGTCGACCGTGCCTTGTCTATTAATAGAACAGTGTGGCTTGTTTGTTCGGGATACCGTTGTTGTTGTTGTTGTAGCAGTAGTACATATATGTGTTTGCGTTCTGCTAATCTGGTTCCAGCTCCAGGTTTAGAAATTCGGCTACTTTAACGGGCTGTAGCCAGAGATCTTCTGGAGTGAGTTGGGTAGGTTTGGCTGTGCAATTAAAGAGGTGTAGCGTATAGTGCGGGCCTGTATCGCACGCCGGGCAGGCGTCACGCACATCTTCATCAATTCGTGCCCAATACGAATTGAGATGACTACACCATCCTGAACGTAATTGCGCCAAAACTACCCTGGTTTGTCTAGGCAGCTGACGTTCTTCAGCTGCAATGGATGGAGGGTGGACTCCGAGGACGGCATTCACTTTAAAACTGCTAATAGCATCCGCGACTGCATCGGTGTGAATGCCACTCAGACCTGCCTGATAGGCTTCTTGATCTAGAGGTTCTCTCTTATAGCGCTGGACCTCCCTCTCTAGATCATGTATGTCCTTCCTGACACGCCTGGGTGGCGGAGATTTATCCACAATATGATGGTTGGGATGACTCTCGCGGTAACACCCAAGCAGGTACTGCAACGAAAGCATATGATTATGCTGACGTAAGGGAAGGACTTTCGCCTCCTCATGTAGATGGTCCACTGGTGTCATGAGGAGGCACCCTGTCGCAGTTCTCAGGGCAGCGTTCTGGCAGGTCTGGATATGCTTCCACTGCGTAGCACTAGTATTCGCAGACCACACTGGAGCCGCATAGCTGACCACAGACCGACCTATCGCGTTATAAGAGGTCAACAAGGCTTCTTTGTCCGCACCCCAAGAGCTGCCGGCTAGCGCCTTGAGGACCTTGTTCCTACTTTTCATCTTGTCGGAGATAGCTGTGGCTTGCGCGGACGACTTGAACATGCTGTCGAACGTGACCCCAAGAATCTTGGGGTAGTTCGTGGTCGGTATTAGATTCCCCTCGACCTGAACATTCAGCTGTGTTCTCATCTCCGCAGACCATGTGGTGAAGAGTGTGGCCGTTGATTTCGTGGCGGATATTTTCATATTCCTCGCGTGGAAGTATGCGGCAAGCTCTGTGAGATAGGGGTTCAACCTTTCGCATATGTCATCGACCACTGGACCCGACGCCATGATCGTACAATCATCCGCATACGTTACGATCTCAATGCCGTCTGGAGGGCGAGGAATTCCGGAAATATAGAGGTTAAACAGTTCCGGAGATATCACCCCACCTTGGGGAACTCCCTATTTCACTCTACGGGCTTTGGACTTCTTGTATCGGAATTCCACGTACGACTGGCGTCCACTCATATAGTTGATTATCCAACGTTTCAAACTTGGCCGGAGGGTAGTTCTCTGCACGTCCTCGAACAGTGTGGCATGATTGACCTATCAAATGCCTTTGATAGGTCAAGGGCTACCAACACTGTTCTGTCACACGGCCTGTTCTGGTTCAGTCCTCTACTAATATGTGTGGAAATGACGTGTAATGCTGTTGTGGTACTGTGTTGTGGACGGAATCCGTGCTGGTGGTTGGCAGCTGTATAGCTTTCTCTAATGCTGGGGAGGAGTAAAACCTCAAGAGTCTTTGCTACTGGCGACAAAAGCGAAATCGCGGGATACCGTAGTATTTTGTTCTTGCAAAATGGTCAGGCTTTATCCCTTTATTGTTGTTTTTATAAAAACAACGTTTGTTTATTAGTGGAGAACGATGGTAATGTTTACCAGGGGGTAAGGTAGGGAATACCTAGGTTTCGGAAAGAGCCACCAATCCTCATCAGTTCCCTTGTTTTGTCTGGGATATTCTCCCCAGAAGTTATTTTAAAAATAACTTCTATGACAAAAACCCAAGTGACGAGATTGTAAGCTCAATAGAAGAGGACCAAAGAATTAAATAAAACTAAAATTCTTTTGGAAAGTCTTCTAAATCTTACAATCGCACTTATAAACATTTACATCTTTCTCCACTTGTTATGCTTTTGTTCAACCTGAACGAAGTAACATAACCATGTAAGTTGGTTTTGTCTGTTACAACAAAAACCCCTTCGTCGACCGTGCCTTGTATATTAATAGAACAGTGTGGCTTGTTTGTTCGGGATACCGTAGTATTTTGTTGTTGCAAAATGGTCAGGCTTTATCCCTTTAGGGGGTTTTTGTTGTAACAGACAAAACCAACTTACATGGTTATAATGTAGAGCTACCAGCTGTTTACAATTATTTTTCTTTTCTTAATCTTGCCAATTCTATGTATTAAATTGAAAAATTGAGCAGTTTGGATTATATTTATAAAAGAAATTCTGGGTATTCCATTCGTCGCGCTATTTAACTCATTTTAAAAATAAGGAAAAATATGAAGTAAATTAAAACAACAATGACAGTAAGAGAGCATAGCCTCAGTGTAGTATTTCTCTAGTTTTATGAAGCTGTTCTACCTCCTTATTGTACCAGGATTTTGACTATTACAGCGTTACCTAAAATTCGACGTACTCGGTCGATATTTTTCACCATACAAGTAAAACACAGTTACCCAAATACGTCTGACATTTCAAAGTTGAACATTTTCAACCATGGTATAATTATTTCAGTTAGCAGCAAACCGCAGCTGATTTGACCTATACTAACACTAGTGTCAAATTCGATTTGACATTTTTTGCCTAATAATAGAAAATTACGTTGTTGTACTTTAGAAGACTAGTAAAACTAGCAGAAGAGAGAACAGTTCGAAATGTCATTCTCAATTAGGTGTGCTCAAAAAATAAGGGAACGGAAAATTAGCAGAAATGCGATAAAATGTCAAAATTCAAAATTCCAAGAGTAAACAGTCCAAATCGGACTGGTGAAACCTTACTGAAACGGACGCCAAAATTTAAAAAAATTAGTATTGAAGACGATACGTTAAAACTAATAATCTATAATAATAATTAATAATCTGATTCATCATTCAGCCAGTCCTCTTCACTACTGGAATCATCCAAAAGTGTTCCATATTTTCTCTTTTTGTTTTTTTGCACTACAAATATTAGTTTTTCCTTTAGTTTTTAAGTTGATCATTTCTTTATTTTTGTTATGACGCGGAAACATTGAAATGTATCGATACATTTTTCAATCTTGTTAGCCCTGCCAATTAAATGTCAAATTCACAATTTGCACATTTCTGCTCGGCCAAATTCATGTAGCTAAAACAAGCAGAAATGTGCACCACTCAGCGCCATTTTTTTCTGGAGAGAGCTGCAAGTTTTGCTAGTTTTGCAGTACGGGAACGCGTTGTAGCAGAATTAGTACTAATTTGTAGGTTCTGGAACACAACTAATGTTTTTATTTGGTATATTATAAGATTTGGAATTGGCGTATTTTGGGTAATACGGACGTACAAAATATTTTACCATAGTGGGGATATGAAATATTTGTATACGCCACGTCGATTTTTTAACGCTATTAGAAAAATGTATTGACATAGTTTGGAGAAACCTGTATTTCTAAATGGTTAAAAGTTTAAAGGACCAATACAAGGCACATGTACGGGTTGCCCATATTCGACGGACCCATGGGCCCATTCCAATCACGAGGCTTGTCCGCAGGCAACATTTTTTGCGTCAATTGAATTTTGTACGGGAACAAATGCAAATCAATGCGAATAATCCGTTGTAAAGTGGACCGAGCCATGCCCAACTGCTGATAACGGCGTTTTTGGGATGTTCTTGGGGACCTCTCAAAACTGGCTCGTACGGCAGCGATATTCTCGGCCGATCGCCTTGGTCGACTTTTATATGGCCTCTTCGGATTAGAAAGAGCCTTACCAGTCGAAAATTTTTCGTATAAACGCTTAATGGTGTTCTTAGAAGGCGCACTTCTCACATTTTATAATGTTTTAAAAGCACGTTGAGTTTTCACAATTGACTTCTTCTCATGGTAGAAGAATATAGGTAGACGCGTCGACACAGCTGTTGGGACAATGAACTGTCAAACCAATTTTGGAATTGAAAATGTTGAATGAAAAATTATTTAAATTTGTAAAAATTGTTGAAAAACGCGAATTATAATAGCCTCCGAATGACGTAGTATAAGAAAACATATAAAAATCTACTTATATTTGAAAAAATATTTACATTTTTTGACACATATATGCTCGCAAGCGTTGATGCATCTACCTGTATTCTTCTGCCATGCTTCTTCTGTTCGCTTAGATCTGCCGATAGAAATAATGTTGTCATTGTAGAACTAAGAAGGTAAAGTCATGTAAAAATATGTTTACAATTTTTTTCAAATTATTTCATAAATCCGTTGTATACACACGAAATTAGAGGTAGGAACTGTTTTTTATGCATTGAAATTTGACAAAGTAAATTACAGAAAATGTATAGTTGGGAATGCTAATTTGAATGGGGTTTATTTCATTGTACCATGAATGTTGTTATGAAAGTTACTGTTTTGGTTCATAACTACAGAATTTTTGAGAATTCCACTATAGGTGATGTTCGACCAAACACAACCAAAATTTAAATAAATGAATTGCCTAAAACTGTGTTAAGGTGAGAGTACATAAAATACCTTTTTTGCTGGCTTAAAGTGAAAGTACATGAAGATCTTGTTTAATGGCATAAGTCATTGACTGGCTTCTTCGTAAAATATCAAAGGAATTTTGGATGGACTTAGTTGCGTCGTTGCAATTTCATGTTGCATCGGTCCAAACTATATTGTGGATTATTATATTTTTTGCATTTGCATGCCTGATTTAGCATCTTTTCTGTTGTGTAGTATTTTTACAACTTCTGGCAACACTGATCGTCACCTGTACGTTAACAAATTTTCAAAATGCGTGAAATAAGGGGATTTCCCTTTTCTTTATGGTGCTATATGTATTATTATGCTATATATATTATTATGCTATATACATATATATGTAAATGAATTTATTTTTGTTATGTTTTTTCTTAGTTTATTGTTTTGTTATTCTTTATAATAAATTTAAACATATTTTGATGTAAATGAAATAAATAAAAATGTATTCATACTTGTTTTTTTATCAAAAGTATAAAATTTTTTGCCTTGTTTTGAATATTTTCCACAGTAAATTACATTTCAGTGAATTTTGTATATGTATAGAAAAAGGTGATTCGATTTGCGTCGTTTTCATTTGCGTCGCGATTCTCCGGTCCAGTACTCTTTGGATCATAATTTCCTGAAATACGTTTTCGCCAGTACTCGATTGCAACCTGACTTATGTTTGAATCCTAAGGATCGCCAAAATGTTTCTCTTCATTAAGAGCATGGCTCAATAAGAATGCTTGGTCAACTTCAAAGAACTACAAAAATGCAACTCTGTGCTGGAGTCACAAAGTGTCAAATAATATCAACGCTTGGGAACATTGATATGTCAAATGTTTTTAAATATTTCTTCAAAAATAAGTATATTAATATATATTTTCCTACACGTCGCCAATCGGAGGTTGTTATAATATGCATTTTTTAACAATTTTTACAAATTTGAGTAATTTTTCATTCAAAAATTTCGATTCCAAAATTGGTTTGACAGTTCATTGTCCCAGCAGCTGTGTCGAAGCGTCTACCTATATTCTTCTACCATGGGATGTTCGCTGAATAGTCCAAAAACATCCCTTAGTTTCAGCTTATGGCTCCCTTGTCTCACACAGATGATTTTGATGATTTTGTTTTCCCATTTCTTATTCGTAAACAAATCAATCACACTGTTGGTCCGTATGCTTCACACTAATTCGTAAACAAGACACTATCTTGTATTCTCTTTTATCTTTATTGTTTGTATCGTGGAACGCTTTTGAATTTGATTGACCCAAAATGGCGACGAGAAAATCAGTCGGCCGGCTTCGTTGTCTGGATTGTGTGTGTTTTTTTGCACGAAAATAAATTTGTTGAATTCACATTCGTTTAATAATAAAAATAAATAATATTATTAATATTACAAAGAGGCAATCATGGCTGATGCTGATGTGATATTTTTTGAACACGTTAAAAAAAAGTTAACGGCGTCAAAATGACTACCTAAAGCCGGCCTCGAGTTGAAGGAACTTACTCCCCCGGTTCATTTAATGAATGTGGCCAGCGGTTCGATTTCCTCATGTCTCATTCGTAAACAACAGAGGTCCCTCGGGGATTTTGCTTTCTCGTTCTTTTTTATCGGGCATTTCTTTTTGAGATCTTATTTGTTCCGTTGGGGACGTCTTTCATTTTGGTTTCCCACGCGCTCATTCGATGATTCCACTATATAGGAGATATAGCATAATTTCGATCATTTCGTTTATTAATAAAAATATATAATATTATTAATATTACACACAATCAATCATGGCTGATGCCGCTGCAAGACAGCTGCAATATGAATATAAAGCGGTATGTATAAACTATTTGCGGTTCAACGGAGTATAAATCTAGCGTGCTTTCCGTGCTTTCAGTAAACGTTTAGTGATATGATTTATTAGTAGATGTGTAAATATTCCTAATGCTTATATATCGTCTTTGTTTAGAATTCAAACTTGGTATTGCAAGCTGATGTGCGTTTAATTGAACGTCCCCGCCGTGATGAAGCCACTGGAGAAGTTGTGTCATTGGTGGGCAAATTGGATGGCACTCGCATGGGTGATCGCTATCAACGATCCAAGCCAGAAAAAACAGAAGAACGCAAGGCAAAAAGACAGAAGCGTGATGAAGCCCAATATGATTTTGAGCGTATGAAAGGTGCAACTCTTCTCTCTGAGGGTATTGATGAAATGGTTGGCATTGTTTATCGGCCAAAAACTCAAGAAACGCGGCAAACATATGAAGTCTTGCTGAGTTTTATTCAGGAAGCTCTAGGAGATCAACCACGCGATATTCTCTGTGGCGCCGCAGATGAAATCTTGGCGGTATTGAAGAATGACAAATTGAAGGATAGGGAACGCAAAAGAGAAATTGATGGTCTGTTGGGTTCTGTAACAGAAGAGAGGTACATTGGTTAATTATGTTTATGTTTTTAGATATTTTTTAATATAAAAATATGCATTTCTTTCTCCATCAGGTTTGCTTTGCTTGTAAATTTAGGCAAGAAAATCACAGATTTTGGCTCAGATGCAGTGAATGCTTTAACGGCCAATATCAATGAGGAGCAAATTGATGAGACTTATGGAATAAATGTACAATTTGAAGAATCAGAAGAAGAAAGTGACAATGATATGTATGGAGAAATTCGCGATGAAGATGGTCAAGAGGAGGGAGAAGAAGCAAAAATTGATCATACTCTACATGCAGAAAATGTAAATGAAACTTTTTGGAATTTTTGGTTTATGTGGTCTATTCATAATATTACTTTTCTTTTTTAGCTTCTGGCCGAGGAATCTGTAAATGTGAAAAAGGAACGTGGTTTACATCCTCTTGATATAGACGCCTATTGGCTGCAACGCTGCTTAAGTAAATATTATAAAGACGCTATGGTATCGCAAAGTAAAGCAGCTGATGTGTTGCGCATTCTAAAGGATGCTGCCGATGAGAGGGACTGCGAAAATCAACTTGTTTTGCTGCTGGGCTATGATTGCTTCGATTTTATAAAACAGTTAAAACTTAATCGGCAAATGATTTTATATTGCACGATGTTGGCCTCTGCCCAGACCGACAGTGAACGGCAGCGTATACGGGAAAAGATGCGAAATGATCCCAAATTAGCTAAGATTTTAGTCCAGCTGGACACCGGAAAAACCGAAGATGACGAAGGATATGGAAACAACTCCAGAACGAGTAAAATGGATAAATCACAAATGGATGAAGGTGGTCAGGGTACTGCAGGTCAGGTTGCTGGTCAAAGACAAGTTTTAGAGTTGGAGGAATTGGCCTTCACCCAAGGTTCTCATTTTATGGCTAACAAACGTTGCCAACTGCCTGATGGCTCTTTCCGTAAACAACGCAAAGGCTATGAGGAAGTACATGTGCCTGCTTTGAAACAGGTTCCATTTGAGGATAAAGAAGAATTGCAACCCATTGATAAGTTGCCCAAGTACGTTCAACCAGTCTTTGAGGGTTTCAAGACACTTAATCGTATCCAATCACGCCTGTGGAAAGCCGCATTAGAATCAGACGAAAATATGCTGCTTTGTGCTCCCACGGGTGCCGGTAAAACCAATGTGGCATTGTTGTGTATGATGCGCGAAATCGGCAAGCATATAAACGAAGATGGCACCATTAATGCCGATGATTTCAAAATTATCTATGTGGCCCCAATGAAGTCTTTGGTACAAGAAATGGTTGGTAATTTTGGGCGTCGTTTATCGTCGTACAATTTAACCGTTTCGGAATTGACTGGAGATCATCAACTAACAAGAGAACAGATTGCTGCAACTCAGGTTATAGTCTGTACTCCCGAAAAATGGGATATTATTACACGCAAAGGGGGTGAAAAGACGTTTACTTCTTTGGTGCGTTTGGTAATTATTGATGAAATTCACTTGTTGCACGATGAAAGAGGTCCAGTTCTGGAAGCTTTGGTGGCCCGTACTATTCGCAATATTGAAGTGACCCAAGAGGATGTACGCTTGGTGGGATTATCTGCCACATTACCTAACTACCAAGATGTTTCGACGTTTTTGCGTGTTAAGCCTGATAAAGGTCTTTACTACTTTGACAACAGTTATCGACCTGTTGCATTAGAACAACAATATATTGGTGTAACAGAGAAGAAAGCTTTGAAGAGATTCCAAGTTATGAATGAAATTGTCTATGAAAAGACAATGGAACATGCCGGGCGCAACCAAGTATTGGTTTTCGTTCATTCTCGTAAAGAAACTGGTAAAACTGCTAGAGCTGTTCGCGACATGTGTTTGGAAAAAGATACGTTGGGTAGTTTCCTAAGAGAGGGCTCTGCTAGTATGGAAGTTTTGAGAACTGAAGCGGAACAAGTTAAGAACACCGAGCTTAAAGAGTTGCTTCCCTATGGATTTGCCATCCATCATGCTGGCATGTCGAGAGTGGATCGTACTTTGGTGGAAGATTTGTTTGCAGATCGACATATACAAGTTTTAGTTTCCACTGCTACATTGGCGTGGGGTGTGAATTTACCCGCTCATACAGTCATAATTAAGGGTACTCAAGTTTATAATCCCGAAAAAGGTCGATGGGTTGAGTTGTCTGCCTTGGATGTATTACAGATGTTGGGTCGTGCCGGTCGTCCTCAATACGATACAAAAGGTGAAGGTATCCTGATTACTAATCACAGTGAACTACAATTCTATTTATCACTGCTTAATCAACAATTGCCGATTGAGTCTCAATTTGTTTCCAAATTGCCGGACATGTTGAATGCTGAAATTGTTTTGGGAACAGTACAGAACGTGAAAGATGCTGTTAATTGGCTGGGTTACACATACCTATACATTCGTATGCTACGCAATCCCACCCTATATGGAATCGGACATGATGCACTGAAAGATGACCCCTTATTGGAACAAAGGCGTGCCGATTTGATACATACAGCCGCCCTGCACCTTGATCGCAGTGGTTTGGTAAAGTATGATCGGAAGTCGGGACAGTTCCAAGTTACTGCACTGGGTAGAATTGCATCGCATTATTACTGCACCCACGAAACTATGATGACTTATAATCAGTTGCTGAAACAGACTCTATCTGAAATTGAATTATTCCGTGTATTTTCATTGTCATCTGAATTTAAACATATCGCTGTGAGAGAGGAAGAAAAGCTCGAATTGCAAAAACTAATGGAACGTGTACCCATACCCATTAAGGAATCCATGGAAGAGCATAGTGCCAAGGTTAACGTACTTCTACAGGCATATATTTCGCAATTGAAGTTGGAAGGTTTCGCCCTGATGTCAGATATGGTATTCATTACCCAGTCAGCGTCACGTCTTATGAGGGCCATATTTGAAATTGTTTTGCACCGGGGATGGGCTCAGCTTGCAGATAAAACCTTGACATTATGTAAAATGATCGATCGCAGAATGTGGCAGTCTATGACGCCATTGAGACAATTTAAGAAAATGCCTGATGAAATTGCTAAAAAATTGGAAAAGAAAAATTTCCCATGGGAGCGTTTATACGATTTGGAACCCCACGAAATTGGCGAATTGATTAGAGTACCAAAGTTGGGCAAAACTATTCACAAGTTTGTCCATCAATTTCCTAAATTGGAGTTGTCTACCCATATACAACCTATAACACGATCCACGCTAAGGGTGGAATTAACAATAACTCCGGACTTCCAGTGGGATGAAAAAGTTCATGGCATGTCGGAAGGTTTCTGGATTTTGGTAGAGGATGTGGATTCGGAAATTATATTACACCATGAATTCTTTTTGCTTAAAGAAAAATACTGTCAAGATGAACATCAATTGAAATTCTTTGTTCCGGTATTTGAGCCTTTGCCACCCCAATACTTTTTGAGAATTGTATCAGATCGATGGATTGGTTCAGAAACCCAATTACCCGTTTCGTTTAGACATTTAATATTACCCGAGAAGAATATGCCTCCCACAGAACTTTTGGATCTGCAACCGTTGCCCATATCGGCTCTACGTAATCCCAAATTTGAAGAATTTTATCGCGAAAAATACCCTCAGTTTAATCCCATACAAACACAAGTCTTCAACGCCGTCTACAATAGTGATGATAATGTCTTTGTTGGAGCCCCTACCGGTTCGGGAAAAATGACCATAGCTGAATTTGCAATTATGCGCTTGTTTTCACAACAAGCTGATGGGCGCTGTGTTTATTTGGTATCTAAGGAAGATTTAGCCGATTTGGTATTTGCAGATTGGCATACGAAATTCGCTAACTTGGGACTGAAAGTAGTTAAACTCACTGGCGAAACAGGTACTGATTTAAAATTATTGGCCAAGGGTCAGTTGATAATAACCACTGCTGACAAATGGGATGTGTTATCGCGTCGTTGGAAGCAACGCAAAAATGTGCAAAATATACAACTTTTTATTGTTGATGAGCTGCAATTAGTGGGCGGTGAGGATGGCCCAGTCCTGGAGGTTGTCTGTTCGAGAATGCGTTATATTTCTTCACAGATTGAAAAACAAATTCGCATTGTAGCTCTCTCATCCTCGTTGGCTGATGCCCGAGATGTTGCTCAATGGTTGGGTTGCAATACAAATGCCACTTTCAACTTTCACCCCAGTGTGCGTCCGATCCCGCTAGAGTTACATATACAAGGTTTTAATATCACACACAATGCCACTAGGATTGCTTCAATGTCGAAGCCGGTGTATAATGCTATCTTGAAGTACAGTCCTCATAAGCCAGTTTTAGTCTTTGTATCTTCACGCAAACAGGCTCGCTTAACAGCCATTGATATACTTACATATAGTGCTTCAGATTTGCAACCGAATCGTTTCTTCCATGCCGAAGAGGAAGATATTAAGCCATTTTTGGATCGCATGACTGATAAGACGTTAAAGGAAACACTGTCACAAGGTGTGGCCTATCTCCATGAAGGCTTAACTGCATCGGATCACCGTTTGGTTGAACAACTTTTTGACTCAGGTGCCGTACAAGTGGCTGTCGTTGCTAAAGATCTATGTTGGGGCATGAGTATTTCAGCCCATTTGGTCATAATCATGGATACGCAATATTATAATGGTAAAAATCATTCCTATGAGGACTATCCAATTACTGATGTACTACAAATGATTGGTCGTGCGAATCGTCCCATTGAAGATGCCGATGCCAAGTGTGTACTTATGTGTCAATCATCGAAAAAGGATTTCTTTAAGAAATTGCTTAACGAACCGCTGCCCATCGAAAGTCACTTGGACCATCGTCTGCATGATCACTTTAATGCCGAAGTTGTTACCAAAACAATTGAGAATAAGCAGGATGCTGTCGATTATTTGACTTGGACATTCCTCTACAGACGTCTCACCCAAAATCCCAACTATTATAATTTACAGGGGGTAACACATCGTCATCTTTCCGATCACTTGTCGGAATTGGTGGAGAATACATTATCAGATTTGGAACAATCCAAATGCATTAGCATTGAAGATGACATGGACACTTTGCCACTTAATTTGGGCATGATTGCTGCGTATTATTATATCAATTATTCGACGATAGGTGGGTGTGCATTAATTCGCATCAATTCTTATATTTAACTAACAATTTTTCTTTCACAGAACTATTCAGTTTGTCTCTTAACAGCAAGACCAAGGTGCGCGGTCTTTTGGAAATTATATCTTCTGCAGCGGAATATGAAGATATTGTTGTAAGGCATCATGAAGAAAATATATTACGTACATTGTCTCAGCGTTTGCCAAATAAATTAACGGGTCCGAATGAGACAGCACCCAAGTATGTAAAATGCAGAGCATTTTTTATTTTTTATTGCATTTGATTATATGTTTATTCTCCGCAGATTTAATGATCCCCATATAAAGACCAATCTCCTACTGCAGGCTCATCTTTGTCGCCTTCAATTAGGACCTGAGTTACAAGGTGATACCGAATTGATTTTAGGAAAAGCAGTGCGTTTGATACAAGCCTGCGTAGATGTGCTCAGTTCAAACGGCTGGCTTTCGCCAGCAGTTGCAGCTATGGAATTGGCACAAATGGTAACACAAGCCATGTGGAGTAAAGATTCATATCTGAAGCAGTTGCCACATTTCAATGCCGATATTATAAAACGTTGCACAGAAAAGGTAAAATTTTGCTGTAAAATTGTTTCTTATATTAATCGAATTATTCGTGTTCTAGAAAATCGAAACAGTTTTCGATATTATGGAGTTAGAGGATGAGGATCGTTCTCGTCTATTGCAACTGAGCGATGCACAAATGGCCGATGTGGCTCGTTTCTGTAATCGTTATCCAAATATTGAGATGAATTTCGAAGTTGTTGATAAAGAACACATTAATTCTGGATCTACTGTCAATGTTGTTGTGCAATTGGAGAGAGAAGATGAAGTAACTGGCCCTGTTATAGCACCATTCTTCCCACAAGTAAATAGTTTAATTGTAATTCTTTACTATCATTTAACGTCCTATCATATTATCCTTTACAGAAACGCGAAGAAGGCTGGTGGGTTGTCATTGGTGATCCAAAAACAAATTCGCTGCTATCAATTAAACGTCTAACATTGCAACAAAAGGCTAAAGTTAAACTTGATTTTGTTGCACCCAGCCCTGGTCGCCATGATTATACATTATATTTTATGAGTGACTCATATTTGGGCTGTGATCAAGAATACAAATTCGACATAGATGTGGGCGATTTCCAATCAGAAAGTGAAAGTGAATCGGAATAATTTCTAATATAATATAATAATATATGCAGTTCTTTTTGTAGACATTTCTTCAAAATAAAAATAACAAAACAAATTAATTTAAAATTGGCTTTATAATTCAAATGTGCAAGAGCGGTGTAATGGAAATCAGAATCGATGGGTCCCACAAAAAGAATTATCCATTGGCGCCTAAAAGTATACCTTTTTTAATATATCTGTATCAGAGTGCTTCTGTGCAAATTTTATTCTATGGTAGAAGAATAAAGGAAACAGATATGTCAACATTTTTAAAATATCATATTAAAAATAAGTAGATTTTTATATGTTTTTTTATACGAGCCCAATCTGAGTTTTTTATGATATACATTTCAACAAAATTGTTTCATTGTTTTTAACCAATAAATTGTTTCAAATTTGGCATTTAAGACTCGCAATAGATAACAATCCTTGTAGTACCTTTCTGTAACTGTGGTTTTTATATTAACATGTCTCTGCTATGAGCTGTTACCAAAGACCTAAAATGGTAAAGACTAGACAAAATGCATTTTGAGCAAATGGTTTGTGTCTACAATACATAGAGTAACAGCTCATGGCAGAGACATGTTAATATAAAAACCACAGTTACAGAAACGAATAACAAATAAAATTTTGAAAAATCCAAAATTTTGGTTTCGAAATTTTATTCTATAGACCTTTCCAAAAATTTGCATATTGCTTTAGCGGTTTAAATCAGTTAACATTGGTAACTATGTTGTTATGATATCGTAACAACAGAGGTATTTTCACAGGGTTGCCATGTTTTGACTCTGTCTTGTCCTATCTTTACACTTTTATGTCTTTGCTGTTACTCTATGTATTGTAGACACAAACCATTTGCTCAAAATGCATTTTGTCTAGTCTTTACCATTTTAGGTCTTTGGAATAACAGCATACGACAAAGACATGTTAATATAAACAAGTAAAAAGGCTGTAAGTTCAGCCGACCAATCTTTGAATACCCTCCACCATTTGGAAAAAATTTGGCAATTTTCCAAAAAAAAAAATAAATAAATAAAATAAAATCCGTTAAAAATTCTGTTATGGTACGTTTACATATAAATGGGTTAACCCATTTGGATTAAAATTGTCATATCCATTACTTATAGGATAAGTGTACCAGTAGTCGGCACTTTTAGGATTTTCGATTTTTCAATCTTTCAACATTCTGAGTGAAATCTTTATATGGTAGGAAAATAAAGTTGTTCAGATTCCAATTTTTTTTTACTTTTCGAAATAATAAACACAAATTGAATTTATTTTTATTAAATTGGCAAAAATTGCAATTTTTACTAAAATAGTAGTTTTTTGCTCGTAGTCGGCACCATTTTTCAATGCTCGGTATGTCTATTTGCCAGTAGTCGGCATATGGTATTTCAGTAAAAAATATTATTTTGTATATTTTTTTACACCACAAGGTGGTCAGGGTATTATGTTTTTGTGCATTTGTTTGTAACAGGCAAAAGGAAACGAGATAGACCCATAGTTCCTTTTGATGATCTGCATAGAATCACATTCTGAGTCGATTTATGCATGTACGTCCGTCCGTCCGTCTGTCCGTCCGTCCGTCTGTCCATGTATTTTTGTAAACAAAGTACAGATCGCATTTATTGCCCTATCCAGATGAAATTTTGCACAAATCATGTGTTTGGCCCAAGGACGAACCCTATTGAAATTGGAGATAATCGGTAAAAATATAGATATAGCTCCCATATATATCTTCGTCCGATTTGTTTTTTTTTGTGCACCAAACGTGTAATATCAGCCCGAATAGTATGAAATTTTGCATATACAACCAAATTAGGCCTGAAAATAAGTATGCCAAAATTTATCGAGATCGGTTCAGATTTGCATATAGCTCCCATATAAAACTTCGACCGATTTACGTTTTATTGTGCACCAAACGTCTAATATTTGTCCAAATGGGATGAAATTTGGCACTTACGACCGAATTGAGTCTAGAAGCTAGTATGTCAAATTTGGTGAAGATCGGTTCAGATATAGTTATAGCTCCCATACATACTGTTCATCCGATTTGTTATATTTCTTACCCACAGTCGTAAAATGCACTCCGTAACAACGATATTCAGGGAAATATATCAAATATAGCTCAAAAATATCATTGCCAAATTTTATTGAAATCGGTTCCGATTTGGATATAGCTCCCATGTATATCTTTATCCGATTTCAAATTAATTGTGCACCAAATGGGCAATACAAATCCGAATTTAAAAAATGCTTCGGCATATATAGTCCTTTGAACTTTAAATTATAATTATAATTACATTATATATTATAATATTATATATATATTATTATAATTATAATAATTATATTATTACATATAATTATAATTACAATTAATTAATTATTTATAATTATAATTAATTATTTATAATTATAATTAATTATAGCGTGTATGTTGAATTCTCCCATTAAAACGTTTAATTGTCATGCGGAGCTCTACTAAATTAGCAAAGTGGTATAGGGTATCATAAATTCGGCCCCGCCCGACTTTAGGACTTTCTTTACTGTTTTTTCTTTACAAACAAGCACTATCGTACGCGTTGAAAGACACTCACTGACGAAACCCGTTATTCTCTCGTAATAAATGATCGGAGCTCATTTTTTTACAGAAAGAGAGCAGAGAACACTGCATTGCACATTGCACGTCAATTATTAATTTGGAATTAATTTGGAAAGTCTATGGAATAGAATTTTGAAACCCAATTTTTGGATTTTTCAAACTTTTGTTTGTCATTTTTTTCTATAAATATATTTTTTTTATATTAACATGGTCCTGCCATAAGCTGTTACCCAGACAGTATAGACACAAACCATTTGCTCAGAATGCATTTTGTCTAGTCTTTACCATTTTAGGTCTTTGGCCGAACTTAGGCGCACTTACCCTACTTCAAATAAATCATATTGAAGTGGATTAACCCTGCAAAAAGTTCTAACGTAAACATGGTATTAAAATCTTAAAAATTCCGAACGTATCCGTTATATTAGGGTTTATACAAAGACGTGGACCTGCATAAGCATCTTTGGGAAAATTATTGAATTTTGTAAATTTTTGTAAAAAAGAATATCAAAACAACCTCCGATTAGTATAGTATAGAAAAAACTTCTAAAAATCTACTTATTTTTGAAAAAAAAAAAACATATTAAATTTGTTAACCTATCAATAACGTTGTTCCCAAGCGTTGATGCATTCACCCATGGTGTGATTGACAATCATATGTTTTTTAACTTTTTTAATTTTTGTTTGGGAACAAAACTGTCAAATTCAATTTTAGGCATATTTTCATTTAAATTTCAAATTGTGTTTTTTTTTTGGAACTGACTTATCAATTTGTTAGCATTTCGTCCGTTTTCTAACAAGAGGCAAGACACATGGAATAATTTATAAAAAATAGATGTTGGGACAAACGAAAACCTATAACTGTCCAAAAGGATGAATACAAAAGAGAGTCAAGTAGTAGTGATTGAATTACATGTAAAATGTTCTATACTCGAAGATCATTTCTCCCGCTTTTAAATAATAAAAGGAGCTAAAAAAATAATTACTTCTCTACAAAATGATGAACCAATTTCTTATTATGGTTGTTGTATAACCCGAAAAGATAATGTAAATATTTTGCATGAACTCAATCTCGGGTTCCTTAAAACGGAATTGTGAAGGAGTTTAATTCTGAATAACAGCATTTGCATAACATAATTTCAATAATGAAGCGATTTTCACCAAATCCAAAGGCAACAATGCAATTCTTAAAAATCGTGCTTTTTTATAAATGTTGAAAGTAAACTATAAAGGAAATAAGGACATGGACAAATCACCATTTTCAATCGTGATTTGATAGAAATACAAGCTATACAGATAATACACATTCTATTGTATGTTTGAGAACTTTTACAGGGTGAGATAAAAAAAACTGTAATCAACTTCAGACTGCTGTCATTTCTAAGCCACTCGTCCGACAGCTGTTAAAATTATTCCAGTGACACCTCATTATATTGTTTATAAGCGTACAAAAGCATTTTGTTTAAAATTTTCCCAAAAAAAAGTTATTCGTGATGGAATTCAAGCGTGAGAGTGTGATTTCTTTATATTTGGGCTCGGGGTAGAGCCATTGAAATTCCAAAAAGTGTAAGAATTTACACCGCAACAGAAAGAAAATAGACTCAAAAGAGCTAAAGTTGTCCAGCAGTTTGTAAGCAAACAAAATGATCGTGTTTACTTGCCAATAAAGGTCAGCTGAAAATGTGCACCTTCGGTTGGCCATCAGAAATCAAGCCCCGACCATGGCGATGGTGTGGGCCGCCATAACAGCCGATGGTCGCTCTCCGCTCGTATTAATCGACCGTGACATCAGATATTTCGCGAAAATATTCTGGAGGGTGTATTAAAGCCTTGAGCACGCAAACATTTTGCCCGCAGACCTTAGACATTCCAACAGGACTAAGCACCGCACTCAGCACGCGCCACCCAAGTATGGTTACAAAATGAGGTTCCTCGCTTCATTTCCAGCACACAATGGCAACCAAAATCTACGGATACCAATGCGTTGGACTATTGTGTCTGGAGTATTTTGGAAAGCAAAGTTCGCACTAAAAAATACCAAAATGTCGATCACCTCAAGCAAGCGCTTCGCCGGGAATGGGCCAAAACACCGCAGAGCAACATTCGGGCCGCGTATGACTGTTTCTTCGAGCCAAAGGTGACCAATTTGAACAAACCTAAACTTATTCTAAAATTTGATGCTATTTCCGACATTTTTAATGTAAACAAGTAAAAAAGCAGTAAGTTCGGCCGGGTCGAACTTTGAATACCCTCCGCCATTTGGAACGAATTAGAAAATATTCAAAAAAATAGAATCCATTGAAAATTCTGTTAAAATCTTTAAAATACCTAATATCGGAAGGTGCCGATATATGGGGGGATATACGCTATTGTGGACCTATATAGATGGGGGATATACGATATCGTGGACCTATATAGACAATCTTTTTGAGGGGGTAAAATGCCTACAAGGGA